ACAAAACATATCCTCGAACAGACAAAAGAAAACAAATTTTTGGCATTTAGGAATCTAGCTGTTCCATGTGATACATGGTCCGATAATTGAGAACATTTGTGCCAAGTAATTGAACAATAAAAAAATTTGGACTGCATACAAAATGTACCCTATAAAAGATAATGTTAACCTTTGACCTCTAAGTGTGGCCCTTACATTGGAGATAAGGGTCCAGGTGTTGTGAATGACACATCGTCTTATTATTGTCAACATTTATGTCAAGAATTTTCAAAATCCCTTGATGGATGAGGAAGTTATGCACTGGAAACAAAATACAATGTATACCCTATAAAAAACTATGTTAATTTTTGACCTCCAACTGTGACCTTGACCTTAAAGGTAGGCAACTGGTTTAAGGCATGACACATTGTTTTATTATTGTAAACATTTGTACAAAATTATTTTAAAATTCTTTGATCTATGAAAGAGTTATGGGCCGGACACAAAATATACCCTGTAACATGTTAATCTTTGACTTCAACTTGACCTTGAAGGCAGGGGTCCGGTTTTATTTGCGCATGACACATTGTCTCATTATTGTGAACATTTGTGCCAAATATTTTCAAAATCCTTTCATTAATAAGAAAGTTATGGATCGGACACGACATATACCATCAAATAGACAATGTTGACCTTTAATCACTTAGTGTGACCTTGACCTTGAAGGTAGAGGTCCAGATGTTGCGCATGACACATCGTCTTTTTATAACAAACATTTGTGGCAAGTTATTTTAAATTCCTTTGTGACAAATGACATATTAATGGACCGGACACGAAAATGTGACGGACGGACAGACGGACGGACAAACGGACGGAGCCCATTTCTATATTTCGTTTTAACTTTGAAAAGACGGGGGACAAAAAGAAGATACAAGCTATTTGCCAAAATTGTAGACAAAGAATACAAAAAATATACATGTAAGACGCTTAAAAGTTTCGTGCATATAAATTTATGTTTGAAACTTTAAAAAATGATATATCCAATACTAGCCACCAAAATGTCAGTTTAACTCATCAACTACCTGCAGGCATATAAAGTGTTTATAGACACACACAAAAAATAATTTAAAGGAAAATTTCATAATCTAACAGGTGCAATTAAATGTATATGAATTAAGCCTACAATAAAAGGTTCATATGTAAGGCTTTATCATAATATATGTAAAGTCCCATTTATTCCCAAAACATAATATTTTGACCGAAAAGATTGCATTTACACATTGTCTCAGGCCTAAAATCATACAGAATGGACAAGTCATTTTTCTTATTTCTCATACTTGTTTTGCAATACGCATATAAGTATTTCGGAGTGATGTCAAAGTTCATACTCAACCAGTGATAGTTTCCTAAATCTTCCGTAATATATTGAAAGCATGTCGTAGAACGGAACGTTTCGTAAACATTCGGAGTATTTTTTGTAAATAAAGTATTATAAACATAATCAATAGTTTTATCAACCTGTAACACATAAATGGCTCTTTTTTAAAGAACAAAATGATATTTGATATTGTATGGAATTTAATCTGTCTGGCATGGCGCAGCCGGGAAACAGATTTAAATGAAACAAGCAATTATCATAGTATTGCAAGCAATCCATAAGTCCCCTACCGGTAAGAGCCCAAGCAACATTCTGAAGGGCCATTGGCCATTCACTTAGGTTCCTATTTTAAGTAAATTTGTTGAAAAAGTTCTTTAAAAGTGATCACAGGAAACAGTTTTTATGTACAGACAGACGGACTGAAGGACACTCTAAAGTTATTTCTTAAACATCCCTGTTATCAAAATATAACATTTTTAAAATCCTATCATGATTGAAGAAGTTGGAGTAAAAATTACCAATTTCTCAAAAAAAAGTCTAAGTTCAAAAGGGGCATAATTCTGGAAATAGTCTTGCTAGAGTATTGAACACTCACAAATGTTGAGTGATAATAAGAAACATTTATATGAAGTTTGAAGTAGATACATTAAGAAAAAGAAGTTATTAAACAAGAGCCGGTTGAACCGGGTGATGCTCCCCGAATAGGTTTTGGACACAGGAAGGTATACCTCTTGTTGTGTCAGAGTTATGTCACAGACAAAGTTCAAAGTGTAAAAACAACCCAAATATTGTGCATGACACATTGTCTAAATATGGTGATCATTTTTGTGAAATAGTTGTAAAATCCGATTTCAAATAACAAAGTTATGCGCCTGACATTATTTTGCTGCAAGTCATGCTGTGACCTTGACCTTCAACGTAGTGACCTAAATGTTGCATGCGACACATCAATTCAATATGGTGATCATCTCTGTGAAATAGTTGTTAAATCCGACTTCCAGTAACAAAGTTATGGGCCGGACACGATTTTGCTGCAAGGTCATACCGTGACCTTGACCTTCAAGGTAGCGACCCAAATGTTGCGCGCGACACAATGTCTCATTGTGGTGATCATTTCTGTGAAATAGTTGTAAAATCCGACTTCAAATAATGAAGTTATGTGCCGGACACAATTTTGCTTCACAAGGTCATGCTGTGACCTTGACCTTCAAGGTAGCGAGCCAAATGTATTGCGCATGACACGCCATTTTAATATGGTCATCATTTTCTGTGAAATAGTTTAAAAATCTGACTTCAAATAAGGAAGTTATGGGCCGGACACGATTTTGCTGCAAGGTCATGCTGTGACCTTGACCTTCAAGGTAGCGACTTAAATGTTGTGCATGACACGTCATCTTAATATGATGATCATTTCTGTGAAATACTTTTTAAATCTAACTTCAAATAGGGAAGTTATGGGCCGGACACGATTTTGCTGCAAGGTCATGCTGTGACCTTGACCTTCACGGAAGCGACCCACATGTTGCACGCGACACATCGTCTCAATATGGTGATCATTTCTGTGGAATATTTTTTAAATCCGACTTCAAATAACAAAGTTATGGACCGGACACGATTTTGCTGCAAGGTCATGCTGTGACCTTGACCTTCAAGGTAGCGACCCAAATGTTGCGCGCGACACGTCAATTCAATATGGTGATCATCTCTGTGAAATAGTTGTTAAATCCGACTTCCAGTAACAAAGTTATGGGCCGGACACGATTTTGCTGCAAGGTCATACCGTGACCTTGACCTTCAAGGTAGCGACCCAAATGTTGCGCGCGACACAATGTCTCATTGTGGTGATCATTTCTGTGAAATAGTTGTAAAATCCGACTTCAAATAATGAAGTTATGTGCCGGACACAATTTTGCTTCAAGGTCATGCTGTGACCTTGACCTTCAAGGTAGCGAGCCAAATGTTGCGCATGACACGCCATTTTAATATGGTCATCATTTCTGTGAAATAGTTTAAAAATCTGACTTCAAATAAGGAAGTTATGGGCCGGACACGATTTTGCTGCAAGGTCATGCTGTGACCTTGACCTTCAAGGTAGCGACTTAAATGTTGTGCATGACACGTCGTCTCAATATGATGATCATTTCTGTGAAATACTTTTTAAATCTAACTTCAAATAGGGAAGTTATGGGCCGGACACGAATTCGGGACGTACGTACGGACTGACGGACTGACGGACGGACGGACGGACGGACGGACGGACAACCCGACGACTATATGCTCCCCCGAAATTTTTCGGGGAGCATAAAAAACAATGTTTTTTTTCATGAAAATTTTAAGTTCAAGGGAGGTAATTCTGATAAATTTTGTGCTAGAGTTGTAAACCTTGTCACATATGATGTGGTTGATGACAAGCAATTTATATTTAAAGTTTGAAGAAAATACCTTAAGAAATAAATAACTTACAGTGAAAAAACTAAAAAACTAGAATCAGAAATCTTGAAATTCAGTCTATTTGTTGCCATAGCAACCAGAATTTTCAACATAGGAAGATAAGAAAAGAATGTGCATAATTTCTATACTGCCATCTACCCATATGTCAAGTTTCATAAACATATTTTCAGTACTTTTTGTGTTATCACTGGATCCAGGTTATGTGTAAAATTTGCCATATTTTCAGTCTATTTGTTGCCATAGCAACCAGAATTTTCAACATAGGAAGGAAAGAAAAAGACGTGCATAATCTCCATACTGCCATCTATCCATATATCAAGTTTCATAAAAATATTTTCAGCACTTTTTGCGTTATCGCGGGATCCAGGTTATGTGTAAAATTTGCCATATTTTCAGTCTATTTGTTGCCATAGCAACCAGAATTTTTAACATAGGAAGAAAAGAAAAAGACGTGCATAATCTCCATACTGCCATCTATCCATATATCAAGTTTCATTAAAATATTTTCAGTACTTTTTGCGTTATCGCGGGATCCAGTTTTGTGGACGGACGGACTGACGGACGGACAGACGGACGGACGGACAGACGGACAGACGGACGGAGGGTAAACTAAAGTCCCCTCCGGTAAACCGGTAGGGGACTAATAAATGATGACTTTACAAACACGAACTTACTTAATAATTGAAATTTTGTTTTCAAACTTTACAAACAATGATTTAACGGGAAAGTGTTAAAAGAGAAGTTGATGTAGATTAAACAGAAATTGAAAAACGGAAAGATCTCATTGGACAAAATATAATTTCAACCACTAAATGCTGATGTAAGACAAAAAACAAAAGAAAACAAACATATATAGTATTACATAAAGACATGTATTTGCGTATATTTGTCTTAAGTTGATTTCTTTTTTTCTCCTCAATTTTTGCAACATTGTAAAATAACCAGCTTATTGCGTTAAAGTTACATATCGTCGGCGCTTTCTTTTCTATTTTCCATCATTTTTTTTGCTCAAAACAATTATCTGATATTTGTTTAATTACTTTAAATTATAATATCTTGTCATGTTACACCACAACAGAATTATTTTCTCTTAAATTACAAAACCGTTTTAATGTTGGTTTTGACAAGTCAAGTTGCATTAAATGGCAAAACGGAATACGTGAAATTTGTTGTTCGAATACAAAACGCTGTAAATATGACGTCAGTCGCGGTTAAATTCTACGAAAAACATGTTTCTGTAGTCAGTTTTAAAATCCGGATCACGTGAGGTCAAGTTTAAATAATGCTTATAAATACAGTGTCTCTTGCAGGATTAATTACTTTGCGATTTGCGAGGGAACAACAAAGGTAAGTTTCTTTTAATCATATTTTTTTCAGCATAAAATCAACATAATTATGTAGTAAAACAATGATTTTTTCAATGAAAATATTGTTACAGCGGAATTGCACTACTACTTTTTAAACGAATCTAAATATAGTGCGCGCTCTTATTCAATTTTATTTTGTAAAAAATTACTAACGTACATTAACCTGTACATAACACCACTATGTTCAGCAGAGTACTATACTGCTAAATTATGTGTAAAATATTTAGTCAGTTTGTATGGTAAAAAGATGTACGATATAAACAACATCAACTAAATGAGTACATTTCAAAATGATATACAAGTATGTTTATGTTAGCTTTGTTCATTTTATGGACACAACTTTAATTTGCTTACTTGTTATCCAATTAATTTAAAATTATACATAGCAATTTAAATGACACCAAAATGACTGCTTCTTAAGCATATATTTGAGCCGCGTCATGACAAAACCAACATAGTGGGTTTGCGACCAGCATGGATCCAGACCAGCCTGCACAGTCTGATCAGGATCCATGCTGTTCGCTTACAAACCCTATTACAAGTAGAGAAACTGATAGCGAACAGCATGGATCCTGATCAGACTGCGCGGATGCGCAGGCTGGTATGGATCCATGCTGGTCGCAAACCCATTATGTTGGTTTTGTCGTGACACGGCTCATATACAGCCAGTACTCGCACCAAAGTGGAATAAGGAGGCTGTAAGAGAATCTTACCTGTGGCGGGATTCGAACCTAAACATGTATGATTAGAAGAAGTACGGCGCTTTATAGCGTTACACTATACCCTTTACTTCATTGTTTAGCATGATAATTTTCTTTATTTATTTACGCTGTAAATAACTTATTGCAATGGCGGGTTTTATTATATTTAAAATAATTCAACATTATAACATGATGGGTAATATTGTACATTGTGATGTGATTCGCTCGAGCCCGCATAACGAGAAGGGATGCATCAAGCCATTAGAACGGTACACTGATGCAGGTATCTTTTCTTCACATACGTTATCCGTTCCGTAAAAGTGCGGTAAAGGGAATCGGAACAAAACTGAAGAAATTACATTTTTAACAAGTTTATTGGCGTGATGTTTAGTTAAACAGGCGTATGCATTTAAAGACAGTACATGCGCATGATGAAGGAAGACAGCGTGAAATATTGAACATCCGATCTGGATTTGTTAGTACATGTTCATGAATTGCATGGTCATTTATTGAAAATGACAATATTTTCATCAGAAAGCGTATGGGTAAATAAAAAAGATCATAATTTCATCACAACTTTAATTATTATATTGTCATTTGTATTTGTTTTGCTTTTCTTTACAGACGTATTTCATCAAAATGTATGTCAGCACGGTTATTTTTCTATTTTGCGCCTGCTTTATGAAGACAAGCGAGGCTGGGCGTTATACGGGACGTGATATAGTACCAAAAGGACCCGGAGGTAACGGAGGTTCCCCTGGTGGTGTTATTCCCGATGGTAACGGAGGTTCCCCTGGCGGTGTAATTCCCGGTGGTAACGGAGGTTACCCTGGTGGCATGACACCTGATAATACTGGAGGCCCTGTTGGACCTATCCCTATCCCAGGAGGTATAGGGGAGTGCCTTGCTATTGTTCCTTTTCATAGACAGCTGGCCGACTTTGCTTTACAGGAAATGGGAACTGGATATATCTTGCGTGAGATTCTTGGAGTACGCACAAGTGTACGTATCCCACTTTGTCTCAAATGTATATTGCTGTCCGTGATCTGAGTAGGCCGTTGGTTTCAAATCACTTGCCCTTTACCACTGTGGGTTTGAACCCCGTTTGTACACCAGGTTCGTTCTTGTGAGGAAACTATCTTTAGCAAGATAACGGATCGTTGGTAGTTCTATACTAGGTGTTCGTTCATGCTTGAAATTATGCCCGAGGTATTCCTCCATCAGTAAAGCTGGAAGGTGGAATGTCATCGTATGATTTTACAAACGCTCAACCAAAATAAAAAATTAAAGAAATAAATAAATAAAAGAAATAAAATAAATATAAAAACAAATAAAATTAAAAAAAACACATTTTTTTATGTTGGATGTTGCTGAATGTGTGTAATGGGATTGTTTTATATTTTGGAAGGACATGCTTGAGAATGAAAAGAATAGTTTAACAATTTATATGTTATATAGTTTTAAGTTATCATCAAATATTTTATTTTTGTTTTAGATCGTGGCAGGTACCATGTATCATATGGAGTTATATGTAGCGACCTCTTCAAACGCTGTAAGTTGATCTTAGACCTTGACTTCCTTTATCAAAACGGCAGTTAATGTTCTTGAAATTTACATACAAATTTAGATTTATACTTTAAATGAAATGTAAACAGTGTTCTGAATCAACTTTTAGTGTTGCATGGCTGCAGTGTGCATTCAAAGTGTTGACATCACTTTACATATCTATACATTAAACAGTTTTTATTTTACAAAGTAAAGATATTACGCATGAAGGAAGTTCTAATTGCAGACATATCTGTTACCGTTGTATATGACAAGTTCATTGTAAAAAAAAGGATTACAAAGTTAACGAAATTATTCATTCAAGAATGACATAAACATTTTTATATATTATTAGTTTTGTAAAAATGTACCGTGTTTTTAGGTTACAAAATGTCTGCACTGTGACGTGAAAGTCGTGCATCAGCCATGGCTGCCAAAACAACTTGTCCTCCACAGATACCAGTGCAAAGATACATGTTGCCGTGGAAATGGCGCACCGAGACCCGATGACAAATCTTATTGATAGTAAAGAAACACATTTGAATTATATTTACATATTGATACAAGTGTAATAAAGAACAAGAACCTTCCTCGTTTCTGTCTTTTTGGTAGGAAACATAAAATATTTGTAATGAAATCTCCAAATTACTGGCTTGCTCCATAATGTAAACACCATAATAACACTATCCCTTTGTCAAACTGACTTTATTATTAGCCTGATGGCGATATAGAATTTACCTACACGACCAATGCAGACCAGGATCGGACGGCACTGATTGCTTTTTGGCCAATACATGTATGGAAATTTTACATAAAAATGATGAAAGATGTTGTCCAGATTTAAAGATGCCCATTTAAGACATTTAGGATTAATTCTTAAACGATGGACGGCACTTTGAACAATATCGTGTTTTGTAAGGTTTCGTCCTTTCTGTTATCAAAAGGATTTTAATAAAGATGAGTTAAGGACCAAGTCCGTATGGCATTTTATATACTTACTTTAATGACATATGTTTCCCTTATTTTACCTAACTCAGACCAGTCACTTTAGTTTTCCTAACTGTACCTTTACATGCGATGAAAAAGACGGTGCAAGATTTTTTTTAAACTTCTGGCGTTGTATTGTATTATATACACTTTTAATTTGATATCGTCTTCAGCAAGATTTTATCATTGTCAAACAATGCACATAAGATATCCTTATAACAGTCGTGCACCTTGTACAGCTCTAATTTGTTAATATATCTGTTAAAATGAATTAAATGTATAACTTATTTCCTCATGTTGATGTGTTACCCCTGTGCATAAACATCAAAAATGTTTATATAACAAAGCTTAATTACATTTTAATTTGTCACATATATATTTTCTATACAAGTAGCATAGGTAACCAAAACTCGTGAATACTGTTTATCAAATGTATAATGACTATAACAAGTGAGATAAGTCTTCCAGCCGTGGTCAATCCATTTTCATAAAGTGTAAATATTTTTATGTAAAATATACCATATAGTTTACTAAAATCAAAGATATTCATTACACGAACCGTTTCCAAAGAACAGATTTGTTTTAAATGAAACACAAAAGCGAACATCAAAGTTTAAATTAAATAAAATGATGTGCTTGCAAGCTTGAACTAATCTATTCTAATAAAGTAATCATTTCTAGTTGATCAACAGTTGACAAAAACTAATATCATTTTGTTGTATAAGAAGATAAATCATGATTAATATAATCTTCGTCGTCGTTACGTTACGTTTCTAAAGTCACGTAACGTTTGTAAACGACCGAACAAAAACGCATATGAAATTTGCAAATCATCAATATGAAAAGCACGAGCCAACACTGTCAAATGTTCATTTTAAGAGGAGAAAAAAAGTTTTAAGTCAGATTTGATAACAGTTGATGGCGTGTAAGACGTTCATAAACGAAAAGTGAGTAAAAAAAGTGACATTAAGTGTTTTTAATTCTGTGAAAATGTCTGTTTGCAACTTTATGAGGTAACAACACATCATTATGTGTTAGATTATGAATATTTTATGAAATAAAAATTCTTCATTCTTCCAGACATTTCATTAAATCTGTCTTTGCACAAAAACAATAATATTTTCCAATTTTATCAATTTGGTAAACTGTTTTTTGGTAATAAATTTCTCATTCAATAATTGATCAATAATTAGAATTAATCAATAATTAGACAGTATAAATATCTTACTTAATCAAGTAAAAATTTTCAAAATGCATTCCACTTCAAATAAATATAATTATAAACCAAGCCTAAAACTTGTTAATAAAATACAAGGGCTTAATTCAAATGTACAAAAAGTTAGAATAAATAAATAAATGAATGAATGAATAAATAAATAAATAAATCAATTAATAAATAAATAAACAAGAAAACATCTATGTATAATTTCAGGGCTAAGCTGAAATGTATAACCATTTTGTTTTCCTTCTTGCTATTGTGTGTGCTCAACTGCCTATTGAGGCGGAAACATTGATCGCACGTGGCTCAGTTCCCGCTGCACGTGTCGGCGGTCTAGATGGCTCAATACTACGAGGAATACCGGGAGGAATTGGTCAATGTTTGGGCGTAATTACGCCTTTTCATGTACATCTTGCTAATTTTGCTGTAGAAAACATGGGACCAGCGTACACACTGCCATATATCCGGGGAGTCCGGATACAAGTAAGTTTCCATTTATGTTCATGTCGTGTATAAATACATCTAGACAAAATAGAACAATAAAACAAAAGCAAATAGGTTGGGCAACAAGTTCTAAACAAGATTATATTAAGCCGTTAAATACGTCTAAATACGACATAAATTATCCAATGCTGTTGATATTTGCTTTAATCTGTTACATCACAATGTTTTCAAGAATCAAAGACAACATATACAAACACATTAATTTTCCTTACAATAAAGCAAATATTTCATAAAAGCAAACGATTGAAAATTAAAAAAAGATATGCATGTATATTTGACGTAGCTGATGCCTTTACCTTACAGACATATATAAGCATGAATGTGACAATTTTGTTATGTACAAGTGTTACTGAGATAGTACAAGGTTCTGGCAGGTAAAAGGGTACAAAAACATGCAGTTTTTTCCCACATTTCTTTACTTCAGGTTGTAGAAAAATTCTTGTTTATTAATCCATGAGTATTTAATAAATGAAAATTATGATTCTGACACGTTTACAACTTGCATTTATTTCAGATTGTAGCCGGCACTATTTTCCACTTGGAATTGCATGTTCGTAGCGAATTGTCGGTAGGTGAACCATTCAAAAAAAATAAATAATACGAAACGGTATTAAAGAAAACGAAACAAGAGCACCGCTAGGCGGAGCATTATATGCCCGAAAGTGTTTTTTTTATATAAAGGATGAAGCATTTGTAAGACATTCCATAAATTAAATAAAGTATTAACTCCTTCCAATAGCAATCCTCCTATAAAGTTTGAATATTGTGGGCCAAATAGATTAAGTTATGCTCCAGAAACTGTTTTCAGTTTTAAAGTAATAGTGAGCTTGACCTTTGACCTTGTGACCCAAAAATCAATAGGGGTATTCTACCCAATATGGACAATCATCCTATGAAGTTTGAATATTGTGGGCCAAATAGACCTTAAGTTATGCTCCAGAAACTGTTTTCAGTTTTTAGTTATAAAGTAATAGTGACCTTGACCTTTAACCTTGTGACCCAAAAATCCATAGGGGTATTCTACCCAATATGGACAATCATCCTATGAGGTTTGAATATTGTGGGCCAAATAGACCTTAAGTTATGCTCCAGAAACTGTTTTCAGTTTTTAGTTATGCTCCAGAAACTGTTTTCAGTTTTAAAAGTAATAGTGACCTTGACCTTTGACCGTGCCACCACAAAATCTATAGGGGTCTCCTACCCAATATGGACAATCATCCTATGAAGTTTGAATATTGTGGGCCAAATGGAACTTAAGTTATGATCCGGAAGCTGTTTTCAGTATTAAGGTAATAGAGGCCTTGACCTTTGACCTTGTGACCCCAAAATCAATAGGGGTCTCCGACCCAATATGGACATTCATCCTATGAAGTTTGAACACTGTGGGCCACATGGAACTGAAGTTATGCTCCAGAAACTGTTTTCAGTTTAAAGGTAAAAGTGACCTTGACCTTTGACCTTTTGACCAAAAATCAATAGGGGTCTTCTAACCACTATGGACAATCATCCTATGAAGTTTGAACACTGTGGGCCAAATGGAACTTAAGTTATGCTCCGGAAACTGTTTTTAGTTTTAAGGTGATAGTGACCTTGACCTTGTGACCCCAAAATCAATAGGAGTCTTCTACCCACTATGGACAATCATCCTATGAAGTTTGAACACTGTGGGCCAAATGGAACTTAAGTTATGCTCCGGAAACTGTTTTCAGTTTTAAGTTGATAGCGACCTTGACCTTTGACCTTGTGACCCCAAAATCAATAGGGGTCTTCTACCCAATATGGACAATCATCCTATGAAGTTTGAATGTTGTGGGCCAAATGAAACTTAAGTTATGCTCCGGAAACTGTTTTCAGTTTTAAGGTGATAGTGACTTTGACCTTTGACCTTGGGACCCCAAAATCAATAGGGGTCTTCTACCCAATATGGGCAATCATCCTATGAAGTTTGAATGTTATGGGCCGAATGGAACTTAAGTTATGCTCCGGAAACCAAATTGCTAACGGACGGACGGACAGACGGACGGACAGACGGACGGACGCCAGGGGGTATAACATAATATGCCCGAAATTCTTTCGGACATATAAAAACAATCTGCATTTTTCTTTAATTACGATGTCTCTTTTCAATTGCAATAAATAGGAATTTACGATATTTACACAAATGTACATGAAATTGGTATTGCCCATGGCAGATATCTCAGGTTGACATCAGTTTAATGGGTATTTATAATGATTTCACGGCTACAACATAATAGTATTTGTTCTTTAAGGACAGCGCAGGCTGGTCTGGATCCATGCTGGTGGCAAACCCATTATGTTGGTTTTGTCATGACGCGGCTCAAATATGTTTTGTTATTGTTTTACTTTACAGCGTACCGACTACGAATTGTGCCATGCTCAAGTGTTCCGTCCATTAGCAGGAACACCATTAATGCTGAACGGTTTCCAGTGCAAAGAAACATGTGACAATTTCTATTAAACAGAACCATTCTGCAAAAAGAAAGAGACACATTCTCAAATAACCTAGTAAAAGCATGTCACCATGGTTTAAATTAGAAATTACAAGATACCAATAAAAAGTTTATGATTTGAAGAACCAATGTGTTTGTTGATTATGTTTATCTGTAAAATATGCCTAAACAACAAGTTTTAAAACAGGGGTTTAAAGCATCTACGATGACTTTGACCTTTGACCTAATGATCTCAACATACATGGGATTTATCTACAAGTTAGGACCAATCTCCACACCAAATCTTAGGACACTAGGCCTAAACATTATGTAGGTATTAGAAGGACAAACTCTAAGTGCTGAAAGCTACCGTTACCTTGACCTTTGATTTGATTTAAGCTCGATTGCGAAACAATTTCTTGCGACTTATATTAATCACTTTCGAGTCCACTTCCTGGAATCAGCCAGTACTGCCATGGTATCATATGGAGAGACATCGTTGTGACCCGATTAGAGCTCGAACTCATGATCCCTGGGTTGAGAGGCAGACATCTAAATCACTAGGCCACCGTTCCCCTTTAGCTTTGACAAATGACCTCAAAATCAATATTATTAATTTAGCTATCATCGGCTAGTCATGACAACTTGAACATCAAATTAAAGGCCTGTAGGCCTGACGGTTCTTCGGGTTTTGGTCGAACAACTTTTAGCGGTCAAGGCCACCGTGACCTTGACCAAATGACTTTAGAATATAATAATTATAGTCATATGACCAACCACCACATCAAATGATCTGTTCTCTAGTTGTTGGTCGGGCAAGCTTTAAGTGACCAAGGCCATGGTGATCTTGATCTTATGATTTCAAAATCAAGAGGGGTCATCTATTTTTCATGGCTTACCTCGACATCAAATCTAAGGACTATTAGGAAATTTTTTTCCTATTTATTGCTAGGACACATTTAAATGGTTAAGGCCACTTTGACTCCAATATCAGAACAGAACAAAACAGAATATGCATATACAGCTTATCATTAAATACAAGCTGGTATTTATATGGAAGACAAAATACCACTTTATTTACATTTTGCGACCATTATGACAGATTATTTCACATTCAAAGCTTTTTCCTTCGAGGGATTATAGCATCTCACATTATCAATTATTACAGTATTATAAAACTTATAATACCTCTTTCTACAGAATGAAATATTCATTTCTGAGACTTTAATGTATTTTAATAAACTGTATTCATATACTGTATTTTGGTATCAAATGACCATGATCTATTCAGTTTTAAATTCTTTATATCATTTAACTTAGATCATCGGGACAAATCTTGCCAGGCGTCAATTTGTACAAAAATATTCCAGTGAAAACCAATCTTTGGTAAAAGTGTCGTCCCCTTGTCATACTGTACAGAAGCGCTTACATAAATGCAGATCTAGGCCTACGAGTTAAAACTTCTCCAAATCCCTCCAGAGGCGTGCACGTCGCGGAGAAGGCACACGGCAGGTCAAGGTCAAGTCATCTTAAGTACCAGAGGTGATTGGTTGACCTGTCGTGACTAACTCTGGAGGGTTGGCGCTAACGAGAGCCGTTTTTGTTATCGACCAGTATGGAACTTGATGCCTGGCCAGTATTGTCGTACTCCTCTACCACCAACGAACGAAGAATAGGCTTCAGGAAAGACTCAGCATGAAAAAGACGTCCCCGATGTGACTACCCTAGTGGACCGGCACGGATGCTATATTCTCGGACAGATGGTTTAACCGGCGCCGAGTATAAATAAACTCAAACTGACTGACTGGTACGAGTTAAAAGGAACAGGAAGTGTACATGTTACTATCTATAGATTATTAAAATTAAATTTTTTGACAGAGTTTTTTATCGCCTATGGTCTACATAACCAATTGAGTCTCTTAATCTAATTGTTTCTGCAGTTTGTTTATTTGTGTGTTAAAGATAGTTTGTTGGAAAAATAGCATTTATAATTTATCATTTAAATTGTGGCGGGAGAAGATTTATTTCCCTTAGATGCGCACTGAAACAATTGCGCATTCTCGGTGGAAAAGTGTGATTGTATCAAGTTCGCTGTACACATTTTCGTTCTAAGGTAAATTCTTCTCATTATCTTTTACCCTTTCGTGTTCTATTTAAGTCCAAAATATCAACAGATGTAATTACACCGTACTTTCAACAAAATTGTTACGGAATTCTCCGTTCGTTGCCGCAAAATTTTGATTTGTTTGACGCGCAGGCTCTGGCGCATCAAAAATTTGTCTTCTTTGCGCATTTGAAACATCAAATGCAAACAGTGCAGACGATGACTGTCCTTTCCTATAAAGAAGATTTGTGGACAATGTTTGCGATGTATCACATCCCTTCAAAAGTAACCATGTTAATTCCTAAACATCTATAATGCTGATCAATTAGAATCAATACAGATAAAATGGCCGGTCTTTCTGCTATTTTTAGTAACACAAAACTTGTATTACAAATGCCAGAATGTCCGAGGCTGCCACATTGCCCGAATCGAGCTTCATTCACACAATCAAACAATTGTTGTTTTCTGTAGCTAAATAGTAGAATAATAAATTAATGAGGGAAGGAATTGTAGAGCAAGAGTAATTTTGTCTAAAATATATTAGACTACTGAACAGTTTATATGTCATTCAAGGCAGAGATATCAGATAGAGATAACATGTTAGAATCTATCTCCAGTGTGTCTCTGCAGTTTTTTTCCCCAGGATTTTGGGAATATGTCCCATACCCATGGAATTGGGAATTTCAGTGATGTTTTGATAAAAATTGGGAAAAATGCATGATTTAAATTTTGCAGTAATTACACATGTAAAGAATCACTGTCTAGGATGGCATCTTCAAACATTTGAGCACCATAACAGTGAAGAAGCCCTTACTTTCAAAGATTTTTGAATTTGTTATTCAATATTTTTATTTTGTAACTTTCAATTGGGAATTTTTTCCTGTGGATTGGGAAAATAATACACTATTTTCAGTTGGGAATATGACCGAATATCGGCTATAAAATAAGTAAAAAAAAAATCCCTGCTCTGGTCTTGAGATATTTAAAGGTGACAACAGACACTTTCCGTGGTACTACCATAAATGTCATTTAAACCAACTTAATTTAGTAATTTTTGTTATTTAATTTAATCTTGTGCATTAAATGTCTTTGATATATTTATATATATATATATATATATATCTTATTATGTAACTGTGATCTATGTTGTTGCTAAAAATAAAAATAAAATAAATAAAATAAAATTGATCTTCATAAAAAATAACATATTTGAAAAGAATGCCTTTGTAAATTAAATAAATTTTGAACAAAAATCCTATTATTTTAAATCGTCCTATCAAAGTCATTTTTTATTGTTTTGTCATAAAATTTTTGGAATATAATATCTAGGGAACTGTGTCTCAGATTATGCCTATCTTTTCTCAAAAAAATATTACGTAACATCAAAAATTTTATGCCACTATTTTCACCATACATATTACGTAATTAAAGATAATTAAGTCAGTGATTGAGCTAACGAAAATCCCTGACACAACTTGCGGTAACATACTCCCAACAACTTTTTATGACCCAGTGACAATCTGTTGATTTATGTCATTTTATAGCAGAAATTTCTTCAAATCTTAACATGATATACTGTCCGTCTGGTATCTGTCTCAGATGTCACATGGCTATTGGAAAAATTTGAGGCACTCTGTGGGGGGGAAATGGAACGCATTTAACGTGCGACCGCCAGGGGTATATGGATTGTTCCTGCATCTTGTTAATCCATGAAAATGGCAGTTAATTATTTTGATGTTACCATAGTGTCAATAAAAAAGAGCAAGCAAAACAACTGCATGGAAATTGATGCTTTAAATAGTCAAATTGTATTCAGTAACTTTATTTCTTTCAGGTTTTGTTGCAATGTTACTGTTCATTGTGTCGTGAGGTTTGTAATGAATTCAAGCTTGGCATCAAGTGTTCAAAATGCTGTAGCCAACACTGCGACTATAAATACGACACAAATAAACTCCGAGATGATGGATGATGTAATGAGTGAGCCAAGCTCTCCAGAGAGCGCCTTTGATGCGTCGGAACTTATTGGAGATGAAGTTACATCGCAGTTACAAGCTGCAGGTACTTTTTGTTGTTACAGTATCAAGATTTAAAGGTGAGATGATACTGAGATTAGGACCTTTATAACCAAGGTACTTAAGTATAGTAAAATAGGCTGGTTAAGGGAACTTATAGATCTGTCATGACAGGGTTTATTCTAGTTTATTTGTTCTTGTAATTTCTCTCCATATTTGAGTGCTGCAAACAAAAACCTAACTTATTGAGTTGGGCCTTCAATTGTATATCTGTTAATTCAGTGATTTTTCTACTTATATAACAGACTCCGAAAAAAGGCCTCTTCCCAATTGAAATTTTCTTTAAAATCATGCAGTTTTCCCAAAAATATGAACTTAAACCAGCGTTTTTACTTCCCAAAACAGCAATTTTAGAGAAAAATTTTCCCAAAATCAAGAGGCTAAGGCCTCTTCCCAATTAAGTGAGAAAAATCACTGAGTTATTTAAATACATGCTATAAAGACCATACATTCTAAAGATTATGCTTGCATGTGGCTATAAACAATGTGTTTTGGTTTATGCTGAATAAGATTTGTATTTGCATCATCATCATCATCATGTCCTTCTCATTTTGTACATATGTGCATCATACATGTACAATGTATGTTATATTTTTGGTATAGGTTTTACCATTTATGATGTTATATTTTTTATTTGGGTTTTGTCTCACCTTGTTTGATATATCAGATACAACTTGATTGGTCTGATTCCACCATACATGTACATGTATATAAAATTTAAATAATGTTGAATCTTATCATAATCAACTCCTTATTGACACTTTGTTAATTATGCTACATTTATCTTTTACAAGTATGATCTGAATTGAAAGAAGGATTAGATATTTATTTATTTCAAGTTATTTGTTACATTATAACAATATAAACATTTCAGGTCCAGTTGGAGTGGCCGCTGCAGCTGCCATCAACACAAGTCGTGGCAAGAAACGCAATCATATGTTTGAAACAAATCCATCAGTTCGTAGAAGACAACAGACCAGGCTATTAAGGTAGTGAATAATAGAAACTTTAACACCTTGTGTAGGGGTGTTGGCAAAGTGGTTACGGTCATTGTCTGTATGCCACTTACCTCTTACCGATGTAGGTTCAAGCTGCGCCAGCGTCTTCAAATTTTCTCATGAGGGAAAGCTATAATTAAGCTTTTTGAATGTTGGTGATTCTACTCAGGTGTCCGTTTGTGTTTGAAATAATGCACAAAAGGGCACCCTAAGTCTTCCTCAACAGTTAAGCTGGAAAGTTGCCATATAATCTATACTGTGTTCGACATAAACCCAACAAACAAAACAAAAAACTCAATGTGGAAGGTTATAATTTCAAAATTAAGTTATACCTAATGCTTCAACAAGTGATCTACAGATGTTAACCCTGAACATGCTTAATATTCTAAATGGACTTGTCCCACATCCATTTTTGGGACTGTCCATTATCGATTTTAGGGATATCAATTTGAATATTTAAAATTTGTCAGCCAACAGTATAGAGCCTGGTCAGACTGCACGGATGTGCAGGCTGGCCTGGCTCTATACTGGTGGCAAAGGCTTAACGCTTTTGGTTCCAGCACTTTAAGGGTTAATACCGTTAATTTATTGATAAGTCTAACATGTTGAAATATAAAGATATTGTATTCAGAATTATTTACTCCTTGCTTCAAATTCTTGGTTCAGTGAGAAAATATCTAATGCTCAAAAATATATAAACAGTTTTACAAAAATTGCTGGTAATGCATTTTAGCAACCCTTCCTACATGCATGCAAGCATGTCATAAACTATTTCCTAGTACTGGAGAAGAGAAGTAAAAGTTAGTACATAATGGTAAGAACTTAGAAAAGAAAAGATGAATATTAAAAAGAGATTTTTTTAATTGTGAGTCAGTTTCATATATATTTCTAAAATATTAAAATGACATTTGCTAGACAGGCAAGAAAGGAGGATGGCCCAAGTAGCCAGTAAAAAGTGTCTAAAGAATCTAACATTTAAAGACAATAAAATAATTTTTTTGTTACATGTATTTTAAATTCTATTTTTAAAGGAAACTGAAAGCTTGTATAGAGGAATATACAACACGTGTTGGTCAGCAGGCTGTGGTTTTATGTTGTACGCCATCCAAAGCCATAAGTCTCAATTCATACAAAGTATTTGGATCCCAGCCTTTGGAAAATGTTGTAAGTTGTACAGATTCTTGAGTTTTGTATTCATATTTTGTTCTGGAATTCATTTCTATATTTCACAGACTTTGATTATATTGCATGATCCCTGTTCCCTGATATTTTTAAGAGATTTTTCTTTGTTTTAGCTCTTAGGTTTAAGTCTGCACAATTTTGTATGTTTTTGAAAAAATATCAGATATCGGAAAAAAATCACTCTTAAAAAGTAAAATTACAGTATTTAAGTTAATTTATATTAAGAACAATTTTGGGGCAAAATAAAAATACTTATTTGTAGTAAAATTAAGAATGGGTTCACTTATCAGAGATGTATAAAGAGAAAAATATACTTTGATTTAGCTAGCTTTACTTAAATTGTCTGATTATTACTAAATATGAACTAAACTTAACAAAATTTGAATGTATGTTGTCAGTCGCCCCAAGGCATTTTTTAAGCTGTTTTAGGAGAGGCTCCTGGCATGAATTAGAAAAATTAAACTCATTTTTTAGTGCAAGAAGTGGAGAAAATTTAAAAAGTTGAAAATAACTACCTTATACACAGCTTTTAAGTATTTATAGGGTATGAACAAATAACCCATCACTAATAATATGTTATGAAACATGTCAAAACTTAGTTTTCTCAAAAAAGATTTTTTTTGGGGGGCACGTCAGACTATAGTAATTTAAGGATCACTAACTGTGTGGGTTCAAACTCTGTCAGGGGCAAGCTATTGTTTCCTTGAACCAGAAACTTTATACTCATTGCTCAGTACTTGTTGGTTCGAGAGTGTCATTATAAGCTTATAGCTTCCTACACAATCAAACTCAAATAAATACTACATAAACTAAAGATATTTAATTTTCAATCAGTGTCATTATTGGATCACAATTTTAAAGTAGCATGCTCCCAGATACACGCTAATTTTCATGCCAATTTTGAAAATGACTATTTAACAGTAAAATATTGTGGAGTGAATAAAAAAGTAATTTACACGTTGCAAACAGCACTTAATCCACTTCAGATACCAAAAAGAGGAAAAAATATGCAAAAATAGTCCTCACTGTGTTAGTCACGCAGTAGAAATACTGTAAAATAAGTCACTTATTGCACATAACATGTAAATTATTATTGAATCATGAATGGTTTTTACTTTTCTTAAAATCTTAGTACATTTTTCTCAAGTTTGATTTTCTTGAACTATCTTAACTCATCTGGAGGCATGCAGCTTTAAGTAAAAAAAAATCCCATTTTGATTTGTATCCTCTTCTAAATTTGAGAACTCAAAATTTCAGATGAAGAACTGCAAGTCCACAATAATGCAGGATCTAGATGTGGCATTGGCAGTGCATGCTCCACCAAACAGCGATGTTTCGTTAACTTACGAGCTTCCACCACTTGCACTTGATGGTATACCAACACCAGTTGATAAAATGAACCAAGTAAATTTTTTCAAACTTTTCAGATGATTATACTGTACATTTGCTTTTATTTTCTTGCAACAAAGTGATTATATTGTGGTATAAAGTGTAAAATAAATATGTTATTCAATATCAGTAAGACTAAATTTAGATAATGAGATGTACAGCAAAGTCAACATTCAATAATGTTCATTATTTTATTGCTGTTGTTTTTTAGTCCCCTACCGGTTTAACCGGAGGGGACTTTAGGTTTACCCTCCGTCCGTCTGTCTGTCCGTCTGTCAGTCCGTCCGTCCACAAAACTGGATCCCGCGATAACGCAAAAAGTACTGAAAATATTTTTATGAAACTTGATATATGGATAGATGGCAGTATGGAGATTATGCACGTCTTTTTTTTTTCTTCCTATGTTGAAAATTCTGGTTGCTATGGCAACAAATAGTCTGAAAATATGGCAAATTTAACACATAAACTGGATCCAGTGATAACTCAAAAAGTACTGAAAATATATTTTTATGAAACTTGAAATATGGGTAGATGGCAGTCTGGAGATTATGCACATCTTTTTCTTTTCTTCCTATGTTGAAAATTCTGGTTGTTATGGCAACAAATAGCCTGAATTTCTGATTTAAATTTTTCAGCTTTTTCACTATATGTTCTTTATTAGTCCCCTACCGGTTTACCGGAGGGGACTTTAGGTTTACCCTCCGTCCGTCTGTCTGTCTGTCCGTCCGTCAGTCCGTCCGTCCGTCCACAAAACTGGATCCCGCGATAATGCAAAAAGTACTGAAAATATTTTAATGAAACTTGATATATGGATAGATGGCAGTATGGAGATTATGCACGTCTTTTTCTTTTCTTCCTATGTTGAAAATTCTGGTTGCTATGGCAACAAATAGACTGAAAATATGGCAAATTTTACACATAACCTGGATCCCGCGATTACGCAAAAAGTACTGAAAATATTTTTATGAAACATGATATATGGATAGATGGAAGTATGGAGATTATGCACGTCTTTTTCTTTTCTTCCTATGTTGAAAATTCTGGTTGCTATGGCAACAAATAGACTGAAAATATGGCAAATTTTACACATAACCTTGATCCAGTGATAACACAAAAAGTACTGAAAATATGTTTATGAAACTTGACATATGGGTAGATGGCAGTATGGAAATTATGCACATCCTTTTTTATCTTCCTATGTTGAAAATTCTGGTTGCTATGGCAACAAATAGACTGAATTTCAAGATTTCTGATTCTAGTTTTTAAGTTTTTTCACTATAAGTTCTTTATTTCTTAAGGTATTTTCTTCAAACTTTAAATATAAGTTGCTTGTCATCAACCACATCATATGTGACAATGTTTACAACTCTAGCACAAAATTTTTATCAGAATTACCTCCTTGAACTTAAAATTTTCATGAAAAAACATTGTTTTTTTTTTAATAACTTCTTTTTCTGAATGTATCTACTTCAAACTTCATATAAATGTTTCTTATTGTCACTCAACATTTGTGAGTGTTCAATACTTTAGCAAGACTATTTCCAGAATTATGCCCCTTTTGAACTTAGACTTTTTTTTTGAGAAATTGGTAATTTTTACTCCAACTTCTTCAATCATGATAGGATTTTAAAAATGTTATATTTTGATAACAGGGATGTTTAAAAAATAACTTTAGAGTGTCCTTCAGTCCGTCTGTCTGTACATAAAAACTGTTTCCTGTGATCACTTTTAAAGAACTTTTTCAACAAATTTACTTAAAATAGGAACATAAGTGAATGGCAAATGGCCCTTCAGAATGTTGCTTGGGCTCTTACCGGTAGGGGACTTATGGATTGCTTGCAATACTATGATAATTGCTTGTTTCTTAAGGTGTTTACTTCAAACTTTAAATATAAGTTTCTGGTCATCAACCACATCATATGTGACAAGGTTTATAACTCTAGCACAAAAAATATCAGTATTACCTCCCTTGAACTTAGATTTTTTAGGGGAAAAAATGTTGTCTTTTTTAAATAACTTCTTTATTTCCTAATGTATCTACTTCAAACTTCATATATATGTTTCTTATTATCACTCGACATTTTTGAGAAGGTTAAATACTCTAGCAAGACTATTTCCAGAATTATGTCCCCCTTGAACTTAGATTTTTTTCGAGAAACTGGTATTTTCACTTCAACTTCTTCATTCCTTATAGGATTTACTTTAAAACCCCACATCGTAATAATATGACAAGGTTGTATAAACATAATTTCCTTACTAAGCATGGAAACTTAACACATTACTGTGATATAGACAAACTTATTTTATTATGTTTTGTGGTTGATATTTTCAAATACAGACTTCATCCTCAAATTCATTATAAATGGCAATACACAGGAGTGTATGACAATTAAAGAACTTTTTGAGGGACCGGTAGGGGACTACTGTATTGCCCGCAATTCTATCAAATGCTTGTTGCTTAATACTTTGTAAGGATTTAATTCAAAATTGCCTATCATATAGTTTGAAGCATGCCCTTGTTAATCATAATTATGTCAGTTTAAAGGGACTCCACTGAGATTTTTTGACATGATGGGACTGAAATATTTTTTCCACATAAATGTACCATTTGACGTAGGTTTAGACCACTAATCTTTGTGCAAAATTTCAGATAATTTGCGCACTTTGTTTTTCCAGAAAAAATATTCAAATTGTAAAAAAATGACCCAAAATGAAAAGCCTTTAAACACTTTTCACTTAAATCGGGCTAAGAATAGCATAAAAATACGATTTTCAATTTATTTAGAAGTATATTTTTTAACCATTACCTTTCAAATATTTCTGTTTAAAGTGCCCCAGCTCATTTATGTAAGAAATTCAAATGTTATGTTTTTAGGCTTTTAAACCTAAGTGTCCCTTTAAGAGGCACTGCTATTGTTTTCTAGATTTTCTTTACTTGTAATGTCAGTGGTAAATTTGGATTATTAACTTAACTTTATGTTGATGTGCCAGTCAAATGTGCCTACCGGCCCCTTCTAAAACAGGTGACCTTCTTCCCATGGGACTTGGAAAACAGTCAAGTCTTTACCTTTCGACTGAATATGGTAGTTTTGTTTTGGCTCAAAAATAATTTTGGGATATTTACTTGTGGTATGGTGGCATTTAGAGGGGATCTTACTATTTGGCTTACAAAGTGTAATTTTGTGACCCATGTATTTTAGGCCCAATTACGTACTTTCATACCTGAGATGTTGAAATATTCCACTGGGCGTAGTAAACCAGCCTGGGGTAAAAGTGAAAGTCGACCAGTCTGGTGGCCTAATGATGTTCCGTGGGCAAATGTTCGCAGTGATGTACGTACAGAAGAGGAAAAGAAGAGGGTTAGTAAAATGTGTTTGTTTTGTTTCTTACTCAAAGTAACTGTCAAAGTAAATGACTCCAACCCCAAACTTATTTTGGGATCAATAAACAGGGTTACCCACATTGGGCCTATAAGCAACAAAAAAACTGTCTGTAAACTTTTCAAATGTTTGTCATTTTTGTGTTACTAACAAAATAATTAGAATGCAAATGTATAACTGGTCAATAAAAAATTGGTGTGTATGACTTGTAAAAAAAAGTGTAATGATAAAGAATAGCTAAGATTATTTTTAATCTTCTAAAAGAATGATTACATTAATTAAAAACTTATCTGGAGATAGAAATTGATATACAGTTCATATTGATGTATTTTAAATGGTACTTATTATATGTAAACAGGAGGGGGTTGAGGATTTTCAAGTTAAAGGTTTTTATGCGATATTATTCAACTGTTTTTAGGTTTCATGGACAGAAGCATTAAAATCAATTGTAAGGAACTGTTACAAGCATCATGGTCGTGAAGATTTATTGAACATATTCGGGGAGGAAGGAGCCGGTGCAGAAACTCAGCCAGCTTACCTCGGAACAATGGTACAGACTATAAATAATCCTGACGGAACAGTTTCAATCATACAAATAGACACAGGACCAAACAGTGTGGTCACACTACCAGATGGTACACAGGCAACTGTAGTACACTCCATGACAGCTGTAAGCTTTATCATAATACATTTGAGCCGTGTCATGACAAAACCAACATAATGGGTTTGCCACCAGCATGGATCCAGTCCAGCCTGCGCATCCGCGCAATCTGATCAGGATCCATGCTGTTCCCTATCAGTTTCTCTAAATGTGATAGGATTTGTAAGCGAACAGCGTGGATCCTGATCAGACTACGCAGATGCGCAGGCTGGTCTGGATCCATGCTGGTTGCAAACGCACTATGTTGGTTTTGTCATGACGTGGCTCATTTATGATTTAACCATTTGTAAAATGTTACCGTTAAAAACAAATTTTCAATGATTAGTATTATTAGGTCAAGAACTTTGTTGATTTTCTCTCTCTCACAAATACCCTGATACTACACCATTAGTCTCTGACTTCCAAAAAGTAATTTTTTGTGCTTTTATTTGAGGACATTTCTCTGTTTAGTCCAGATATATGGTCCATTGGATATCAACATATTAAGATTAAGAATCTTTGAAGTAAACAGATTACATAAGAACTAAGTCTTCCCCTTTGCTGGAAGCAAGGGTTGTTACCTTTGTAAAGAATAACATTTTATTTGATTTATTGAATGAGTTGTGAGTGACTGTTTTGAAAAAAAAAACACCTAATAAAAGGCTTATCAGTGGATATCTAATTATTACTGTATATGAAACATTTCAGTAACAAAAATTGATTGAAATATGCCTTAAAATTTTGTATGCCCTTATATACAAATACAGATACCTCAAGAAAATATTAACCATGTGAGCCAAGATGTAAGTGGTGGTTTACAGGCTATGGATACAGCATTAACAGCTCAGCAATCACAAGAGGTTCAAGCCAACTCAGCCATAGGCGAACTGCCAGGTGGTGCATCTCTTACCATCAGTGGAGGCCGTTTAATCCTGGCAAATGGGGAAAGTGCCCCGCTGACAACTGATCCAACCAGTATGTTTGTGACTTGAAATGTTTTATTATGTCCCCCTTCGAAAAAGAGGCGGTATATTGTTTTGTTTGTCTGTTTGTCAGTAGACCACATGGCTTTGCACTTGTTATCTTAAAAATTATTTATCACAAACTCTTTATATTTCACATACTGATAGGTCATAACTACTATTGATTTTGGGGTCACTAGGTCAAAAGTGAAGGTGACAGGGGCATTAAATGTCAGAATGGTTTCCGCTCATTATACTAATGATAGCTTCCATTCAGTTTCAGGTCATACATTGGTCATTATTTTTCTTTTTTCATAACTTAACGCTTCCATGTACCCATTTATGGCATGTTTCTATAACAAAATTACCTATAGTATGAGTTAAGAGCTAGAAAGGGGGGTCAAATGTGCCGTTTGACATTTCTTGTTTCTCTTTGGCACCCTGGCATCGGCGTCACAGTCTTTGTGTTTGCATGCAAGTTTGCATTTCCAAAGCTACTTAAGGGATTGGGTTGAAGTTCAAAATTATGGCCAAATTTGAACTTTTAAAAATTCAACATTAACCAAGCTCTTGTGTTACTTTCAATCACTGAGAATAGTCAAGCATGCTGTCCGACTCATAATTGATAGCTCTTGTTTCATAATTAAGATTAAGAAATGCAAAATATTTTATGATTTTCTGTGTTTATCACAATGTTTTAGCATGCAACAAATGAACTTCAGGGATATTTTGGATTTACTGTTTTGGACGCATTCTATGCAATTTATGTAAATTCTAAGGTGTTCCTAACTATGTGTTTAAGGTCGTTGACTTTAAACCACTTGCCCCTTACCGCTGTGGATTCAAATCTTGACAGGGACTTGAGATTCTTTCATGTGAGGAAGCTATCTAGCTAGCTAATGGATTGTCTGTGGTTTTGCTCAGATGCCCGTTTGTGCCTGAAATAATGCGTGGTAGCGTACCTGAGGTCTTCCTCCACCTGCCATCAAAAAAATTAAATTTTAAGCACATAACGCTAAGCTAGCTTACATTATCTATCTATATAAATTGATATTTCAAAGCATCAGCCCAAGCAGCCTTAGATTATATTTATGTAATAATTCATAATCTATAACTTCAAAATAATTGTGAAATTGCATTTCTTATTTCAGCTGGAATGATGTCAATACCTGTCTCAATATATCAAAGTCTTATGGCATCCCAGCAACAGGGAACACTGGATCTAGGGTCCACTGGTCAGGTGGTGTTCACCCAGGCAACTACCACCCAGCAAGTCCAGCAGCCACAGATTATCACACAGCAGCAACTAGAGCAGCTGCAGCAGCAACAAACCCTTCAACAGCATTTAGAGGCTCACCAGGAGATTGTACATGTAGGGGAGCCTCTAGGTGTACAGTTAAATCAACAACATATACAAGGTGCCAGTGGGGATGGATCTGATAGCTTGATATCTACAGGAACTGTTGCATGTAAAACTGAGACTTCATAGTTAACAGACTGTTTGGATATTTAAATATGTATTGTATATTTGTATATAAGAGCCAATGTGTTCAAATTATGAAAATGAAATAGAAAGGGAAAATAACACCCCCTTGTAAAATGTTCTGGTCATATAAATGTATCTATTGAAATGAAAATATATCTCTGAGGGTTTTAGGTGTTTGAAGTAAGGGGATATTGGGATCTTTCTGGGCACAAAATATCTTAAAAAGGATTGGGTTCATTTCTTTCTTGTGGACTAAGTCTTATAAATTATAGGGAAAATTTCCAAATAAGTATTAACTGAATAGTGTAAAGTGGTAAAGTGCACAACATGTTGTGTATTCTTATCTTTGTTTGAACTGGAACCAGGTAAGTGTTACATGGATATATGCTGGAACGACATACACTGATGGATATGAAAATGCATTCGTTTTTTTTTTTCTTTTTTATAAGGAAGGGCATATTTGATTTTTAAGTATTTTGCAAAACTGAAGGACACGGTTCTAATAATGTCTTTAAAAATTGGTAGTCAAGGCCCCTTCTATTGTTTTGAGTTTAAGTTCGAAAATGACATGGTTACCTGCATTCAAAAAAAACAAACCCGCGGGGGGGGGGGGGGGGGGGGGGGGGGGGGGGGGGGGGGGGGGTGTTTTATGAGCCATGATTCAACTGGGGAATTTAAGATCAAAATATGTCCCTCCATACGAGGACTTGTCGGGAAGTCAGTGGAGATTTTCTTCAGTTTAGTAAATCTTTGTGTATTGACCCATTATGCCCTGAATGCAAAAACCCTTTTGCTAAATTGACAGAATCTTTGAAAAATTGGGATTATTTTTCCCATTCTTGAAACTAAGGCTTGTTGAATTTTTTGCTTCATTTGTGGAGGTGGTATCCCGTGATTAAAACTAGGGCCCTAAATCCCCCCATGCATCCCTCTTTTGGTGTCAGGGTCTGGGGGAAAATCGCCCCCAGTCCCTAGAAACATTAATTTAAATAACTTTTTTATTAAAACCTTTAATGTTTGCCTGCAAAAAAAAAGGGTTTTTGGTCATCATCAAATGTTGTTTTCTTTTTTACTTTTTTTCAACAGCCCCAACCCCAAATTGGTAAAAATTTTTTTTCCCAAAAATGGTGGTTTTACACAAGTATAAAAATTATTGAATTCTTTTATAATATGTAGGTTTACTTGAGCTAGCTAAAAAAAATTAAAAATTTTGGAAAATCTTTTGTGGGATCTAGAAAAAACCCCAGAGCTTTGATATTTTTTAAAAAGTTAATGGCTTGTAAAGTCTACTAAAAAAGTCCTTAGTTTTCATAATTAACCGACTTTTAAAAACGGGAAACTTTGACTTACAAAATGGTTTAAATATAAAATTTTGGTAATCTTTTGGGCCTTCGTAAAAAATGTCCATTTTTGGCCCTGTTTAAATTTTTTGGGAGAAAAAAATGATTAAAACCCAAAAACCCAAATAAATTGTCTATAATATTTTTAAGAAAAAAAATTTTGGGGCCTTTTTAAAAAAAGGGAAATGACATAACTTTCCTTCTATAATAGTTAATGTCATAATTTGGGCCTTCTTAATTTTAAAATTTAATTTCCCAAGAGTTAGTCTAAATTTGTCATTTTTAAAGTTATTTTTTTTAAAAAATAATCAGAATCAAGAATTTATTGATTTAATACACTTATATTATGTGAAATATTTATTTGCCCATTATGTGGGATATTGATGTGCATGAATGTGACCCATTAATTGAAATAAACTATTCTATTTCTATTATACAAAGATCGTTGGATCTTGCATAAAAAGTCCATTTAGCTTCTTTGAATTTAGTAAATAGATTAAATTTATTAGAGTTTAAGCATGGGTGAATATTGAATACGCAATAACAGGGTAACATAGTATATGCATTGTCAAAAATTCTTTAAATGTATCGGAGATGTAGATATGTTATTCTATTGTATCTGAATGTGTAAATAAACTTTTGGGATTTATTCATTTCTTTAATTTTTAATTTTCATTGGGCATACGAAATTAAATTGTATGTTCAAAGTTTCAATGACAGGCAATGTATATTATGTACATATTAATTAATGTTCTTTAAAATTACTTCATGAGCATTTTGTGAAAAATGACTTGTTTTCCCATTTGAAAAGCCCTGTTATAAGTTCAAATTGCTCATGAAACTATAAAAAAACTCTTTCCTTTCAAAACTGTTGCAAACCCTTGCACAAATGTTGACTGGACCATATGCCTTTGTAACGGCATACTCAATCTCTGTCGTGTTACCATGGCAACGAGGGGAAGTTTCAAAATTAAAAAATGCACACTATTTTGTCAAAATGCCTGCAATTTCTCCAATGGATTGAGATAGAGCCAAAAGCATTTCATCTTTGGGCTTACACGTTTTACCTTAAGGTCGATGAGGGCTATTTAAGCCTTCCTCACTAGTCCAAAATTTTCGTGGAAGATGAAGGGGGTGCAGAAGAGTCCCTTCACCCCCCCCCCCCCAAGCAGAAAGCTCTTGCACCCCTTTTTTATCTATTTGAATAGGGGATGGCGCCGAAAAACTGATTCACTTTTTTACAAGTGTTTGGGGTCTAAATAGATAACATGTGTATTTTTTCCCCACTATTTGAGGCCTCGAAGGGGTGGTGAAAAGACGTCTATATGAAGTAATGGGTTATTATTTATATTTAAAAAATGATGACACACTTTGTTTTAATTAATCTTTTTGTAAACATTACAAAACATGTTTATTTTTAACATGAACCAGCAGTCTTTATAAAAGGATATATTATCTAAAATTTGCTTTCAAGGGAGATAATGTCACCTGGTGTCATATCTGAAAGACAAACATTAACGCCCTGCGAATAGAATTTAAACTTGCCGCGTTCCAAGGTTTGGGTTGAAAACGGACTTAAAAAAGGTGAGGATTTTCTAAGCTTTTCAGTATAATATTGGCAAAATATTATATTATGTTTTTAAGCACAATGAGTTTACTAGTTAAAGTGAGGAAAAATAGTTTAATAACGAGCATATTTTAATTTTAAGATAAGTTAAATATGAGATAAAAATGAAAACAACTTGAATAATATTAATCGGATCACGTGACTTCTCTTTGTTTTCGTAAAACACAAAAAATAAAACCGCTTAAACCTTGCTTAAAATGGTTTATTTAATTAATACTAAATAAACGTTTACAATAAAAGTTCAATGAAATATCCAAGATGAAAAAGCTATTATGTTAAACTTGATAATGAATTGTACACTAGTTGATAAATACAATGTATGTGACATGTTTAGGCTTGCAAAGATCGAAATTGAGAAATGCATATTTAGATATTGGATTACGCAGGAACAAACAGAAGATACGATGTATATTAATGTTAGTCATAAAGGTTTATGCATATTTATTTCCCAGGAATATATATAATAATATATATTAATCATTATTTCATATTGTTTCAGAAGTTTGATATGTCGTTGGCGGAAAATTGATTAGTTTTTATTTTCATTTAAGAAAATGGAGGTATCTGGAAAGGTAACTGCGGACATCAAAGACGAACTTTAACCTCTACTGTATTACGTGTGATACAGATGGATTAAAGGAGCCAGCTTACGGATTTTGTCAAGACTGCAAGAACATCTTTGCAAAAGTTGCTTTCAACATCACAGAAGGTCAAAAGCTATCTAGAAACCACGTACTGCTTGATAAAGACGCTATGCCAACACAACAAATGGCCGTTGACGACGTAAATGCAGAAGTAATTACGGACAACTGTACCAACCATAGGGATAAACCACTGGAGTTTCTATTGTAACCATCACAAAACTGTAGCATGTTATGTCTGTGTTACGCTTGAACACAAAACAATGTAAAGTTGATTATATTCCTGATTGTTTCAGGTAACGTTATCTGGCGAGTGGATAGATTTGAACAAAAAGATTGAAAGATTTAGTCAAGAAATGTGAATATAACATTATGAAGGCTTCAAGCTGCTACAAAGCAACTAGAAACAAAGTCGTGAAAAAAGTTGTTGAAGACATACGGCTCTTTAGAAAGGAAATAAACAATCGTTTAGATCAGATGGAATCGATAATGATAACAGAAGCTGAAGCTGTTGTTAACACAGCAACCTTCAAACTCGAGAATATCAAGGTTGCCTTGCGAAAAAAATGAGCCGAAGAATTGAAATGTTCACAAGTTATTTCTTAATGCTTTGAAGGAAGCAAACAAAATAATAAGCTTTTCATTGAATTGAAAAATGTCAGACCTCGTTTGATGACTCTGGAAAGTGAGGAAATACAGACTGTTTAAAGAGAACATGACAATATGACGACATTCAATTTGATCGGAACGAAAAGCTACTTTGATCAACTGAAAAGTGAGATATAAACTTTGGAACAATTTCAACAATACAGAAAATCATCAACAGATATTGAAATATGTGTCGAAGTATGAAAGATCGCACAACGTGGATTTTTCCTTCTGATAAATCGCAAAGTGATGTTGATGGGGTGGTAATGGTTCTGCACACAAATGGTCATCGCTGATTACGGTAAAAAAAGATTAAAACGATAGATGTAAACACAGGATCGTTGTTGTCAGAGAAGACGCTGTCCTTCACCACCACGCGATGTTATAAAACTTCCGCAAAATAAACTTGCTGTTGCAGTACTAGTGAAAAATGTATCCAGATAATGTCTTATACTGATACAAAGTTTTATTCTTTAGATCACCGTATAGATGTCGGTGAAAGGTGTTATTGTGTAGGCTTATTGTCAGGACAAGCTTGTAGTGGGCTGTAATTATGATCCAAGGAAAGTTGGTTATTCTGGGTTTAGACGGACATAAGATACAGATGTTTTGATACTCCTGGATTGTCTGATGGACCTGAAAAGATTGTTATCAGCAGTGATGAGAAGTTCATGTATGTATCTGTACTACTCCGTCGTTAAAAGTCATGGGAAAGTGCATGAAGATAGACTGGCAAGGTAATGTTGTAAACGAGTTTGAGTATCAAGGATATAAAAGGTCCTAAAGGAATACAGGGGCTCGAAGATGGTACGTTGTTAGTCTGCTACAACGGCAGTCACGAAATTGGTCAGATTGTCAAGCGGCCTTTAGGAAATGTGAGATTACAGGATTAGAGAAAATAAACCTTCGTTATCCACAGGCTGTAACATACAGTGAAAGAAATCACAAATTATATGTTAGTTGTTCTTCTGAGCAGTGGCCTGGTTCAAATGATGAAATAAAAGTATTCAATGTAAGATAGATTATTGGTATGTTTTGAATGTGAATATTTGCTGCAATGTGACACATTGTATGTGATCATTGAAAAGTCGACACATAAAATTATTATAACACATTCAATAAAAAAAATTCTTAAAATCAAATTTGATATACTATGGATATTTAGAAAAATATTGTATAGAAAATGTGTACTGAAAGTAGATATTATTTTTGTAAAATTCAAATTTGTTATAAATGGTGATCATCATTTATGTACCATGTAAAAGAACAACCTTTCAATTACATATTTACATCTCCAATACGTATCCTCAATTTTGAATCTAATTGATAATTTTCTGCTTTGAAGAACATGTTAAACCCAATGTTTCTTTTTAGGTATGTAAATAAAAAAATAATGTAATTTGACTTATCCTTAAATATAATAAGCAAATGTTTGCATACCTCTTTCCAATTCCATGACAAGAAAAAGAATATTTCAATACACGTAGGAAGACAAGATTTGTAATACATGTAGTTACATCATGATTTGTGTTGACTTCATCAGTGATTTTGAAAAGAATTTTACTATTGACATGTCACATAACTTGAGCTGAAAATAAAAGTTCATTTGTTGACAATAGATATATACTATGTTGCAGAATCGTTACATTATTACATTAAAAATATTGAATTTCATACTGATTGAGAAAAGAAAAACTTTTAAACAATACATATTTAACCTAATTATTTGTGTATTGTGGTTGTAAATGACAAGCTATGTAGTGTTGTTTTTACAAATAATAACTGTATATAAAACTCATGTTTGTATGATGTATGATGTTACTAAGATGAATATATTTGATTGATTTGATACGATTTGATTGGAATTACGTTTACATCCCTGAATAATCATTTGTTTATTTGATTTAATTGTGTGGTTTACAAAGTCAAATAATACATGAACAGGTCATTAAAACATAGATAATAAATAATAAATTGAAATAGAGTTTTTACAAGATTTTATTATTTAACGATGAAAATTAATTCATTATAGATTCAGTTTAGGGAGTGTTTGGGCAAACACTAATGAATGGTGTGCATTAAATCCTCTTCAAAAAAACGGTTCATGGAATGGATTAATAACACATTTATACAAGCAATTCTTCAAGTCCATCATCTTTGATTTTTGCATTATCGGGCATGATGCAGCGATTTGTTTCAGATGTTTTTAAACTGTTATGTACGCCAATAACATGGTTTTTTATGTAATTTCATCTCGCCAGATGATATAATAATAATTTAAAGGTACATAAATATACATCTATTTATTTCAATGACAAGACACATAATAAGAAGTATTGCTAACTAGAAATTGCAAAATTTGTTCCTGCTCTTTTTAAATTTGCTTCAATCCACTAACAAAAAAATTTAAAAACTTTAGCAGCAACAACATTATCATCATCATCAACATTATTATAATGTATAGTATATGTACTTCCTATAATAAGCGCATATTAAAACATTCCCGGCTGCAGATGTTTTTTAAACTCAATACATATGTATTTTAACATTTTAGGTTAAATGAAGTGATTCCGCTTTGTCAGCCATGTTTTATTTTCACTAAGTGGGTCCAAAGTGAAAGTAGGCTAAAAATTCACATAACAACAAAGTTCACAATTTAAAATGATGAACGATACACTTCCAGGTCTATGTTTTAATGACTATTATAAACAAAAACAAAAATGATAACAATAAGAATATTTAACCTTGAATGTGCTACATTCTGAAGACTGAGTACAATCTATTACAAAGTTTTATGCACATCAACTTTGCCGTTTTGTGCGCTCGTTAGATATTCCTTTTTCTCTCTTCTTTACCGATACTTTGACTATATACATGTTTTTTTGTTGGGTTTTTTTGACGTCAGGGATGCTTCTGTTTAATTTGAAATGTTGTTCCATGGTATCTTTTTTAATTAAGGGCTTGATAGCTTAAACAAGACTGATATAATTGATATGTGGATTAGTTTTTTATACATGATGGATGTTTCATTTTGTTTCACCCCTTTCATATTTACCTAATCCAGTGTTAAGGGGCGTAGACAGTCATCACCGCCTAAGAACAGACTGATCCGGCAGCATTTTAAATCGTGCTGTTTAAAGAATTCTTTAAGAATTTCTATTTTCTATTGAATTTCTCGTGTCATTAGTGATTAACGTTTAAAGATCTCTATTTATTTTTGTTATTTCACACACTTTTTCTTTTTTAATTAACATAATCCGTAAAATTTAAATAAATCGAAAAAAAATAATGATGCGATAATATTAATCTATTAAAAAAAAAAATTTTTAAAGTGTATTGTCAACATATAATTGATTTGCATGATTAAAACCATTTAACTAATTATGTAATAATTTGAAATATTAAACCCATATAACATTAAAAGTAAAGGGAATTATCTGTTTACTAATTTATGCAAACATTGTTGTTTGCACGTGCATTAGCTGGTCAAACGGTTTTCGTAATCGGCGTTTCTCATGAAAAATACGAAGAATTTTTTTCGTTTTTATATGTAAACATTTTGAAGGCAAGTAAGCATTTGAACCATTTAAAATTCCATTACTTTTTGGAATAACAAGGAAAACTTCTACACAGAAGAAAGGTACTTTAATCTCTTTTTTAATTTCTCTTTTTCTTTTTTGAAATGTCCATCTAATACTCTAAAATTTATTTGTTCTATACTCCATAAAATGTATATCTAATTGCCTTTGTTTTATTTCAATATCTGTCTACACTGGTCTATAGAGTATGTGTTGCTTTGTTTATAAATTATGATATTAAAATTACAGATCTTTGTGTCTAAATGCTTTTAATCAGCGAACACTTCGGGTTAAAATTTTTTTAATGTGTTTGTAAAAATACGTTTCTTATTGTCTTTCGGGATAATGAAATAAAAAGTATGTTTATTTTTGAAAGGGTATTTTCCGTCGATCAGCTGCTCAGAAAGATTTGGGAAGTTTACAGGAAGATGTCATTATCACCCATTCAGAAAGCAAAACTTGAATACTACTTCAACTTCTTTGGTCAGTGTGACTCTTTGCTTCTACTTATACGACTCATATTATTTTGCAAATATTGTAATGAAATAGTAGCAACTCATTAGCGATTCTTACTATATGTATGCATGTCGTGACGCCAAATTCCCAAATAATTGTATCATGTCGTGATCGACCAAATTCCAAAATATTGTATCATGTCGTGTAAACCTAGAGCAAATACCAAATAAGGAAGCATGTTGTGACCAATAACCAATTCGAAATAAAGTTTGGATGTCACGTTCGTAACCAATTCCAACTATAGTATCATGTCGTGACGACCAATTCCAAATATTGTATCATGTCGTGAACATGTCGTGACGACCAATAACCAGTTCAAAATATAGTATTTGGTTGTGACGATCATAACCAATTGCAACAATAGTATAACGTCGTGACGACTCATAACCATTTGCAACTGTCATATTGTGTCTTGACAGTCAAAAACCAATGACAACTACAGTAGCATCATGTCCGTTGTAAGCTCAAAACCAATGAAACTACAAAAGCCATCAATGTCTTGTAAGTCCAAAACCAAGACAACTACAGTAGCATCGTCGGTCTTTGTAAGTCCAAAACCGATTAACAAACTACAGTAGCATCGTGGTCTTGTATAGTCACCAATGACAACTATGAAATCGGTCCAAAACCATGACAACTACAAAAACATCATGTCGTGAGGTCAAGGAACCACTCTGTCAATTACAAATGCATGCGATGTCCGTAACGACCATATCAGAGAGAGTCCATAGGGAACTTGAACATGGAATGATGTGATTTGTTTCAATGTCCACCTAATGACTCAGTTTTTTTTGGTCACAATTATTTTATTTAACAAATTTTACAGGACTCTTAATTGCTCTCGAAACCAAGAATTAATCTTATCCTATTTTAATATAAATACGTTTCAAGTCGTTATTTAGAGTTTAGGCAACTGATCTAAAGTTTAGTTTTGAACGCATTAAATTTTGAACTTTGCGACTTAATACATGAAAAATTGTTATTTTTCCCTGAGAAATTTCAAAAATGTTAGATTGCGGATGGGCAATGGACAACTGGGAACTAAGTGACCTTGAAGATTTATAAAGGTAAGTTTACTTTTTAAAAAAACAGACAACAAACAAAAAAAATGAGCCCTGTATTTTGTGGCAATTCCTCGTACTTAGTATTTGATAAGTCTAACAAAAAGTATGGCTCGACTCTCCGGTGGCTTATTTCCGAAGATCAGTCCAATTAGTCATATTATTTATTTATTCATAGTCCGTGGATGTATTAAACCAGGAAACTGTTAAGACCAATAACTGTAAAAAAATATATATATTCCCGCGTAATGAGTTAATGTGGAAACGTATTTAAAATAACATTAAATTTAATTGACATAAAAGATCGGACTTATAATCAATCAAAATATGGTTGATACATTACATTGGAACGCAAAACCAAAATGACTATCGTCTTCTCCTTTCTTGGCTTATTTCAATCGCAATATTGACATGTAATTCTTTTTTCATATACTGTCATCATTGATCCACCTAACTGTTTACACCATGAAAGTTTCAAGAAGCTTCACTGGTTGGGTCCGGAATCCTCTCCCCTCAAGCTCGAGAAATGTTATGAAGAACACGAGTGTTTCTTCTCAACCTCTAATCGAGAAAAATGGACAAAGCTAAAAATGGTACTTTAATCTTTCTATTTATAAACCAGCTTTGATTTAGTTTCTTTAAAGAAAATGATATGATAGCTGTAACATTAGCGTTTGCTGCTATCCGCCGTCACTCAATATGGAGAACATCGGATACGTAATCCAGAGGTTCCTGATTCGATCCTCGACACATTCCTCGGGATAGTTGAAATTTTTGTAATTGATAATTTCGAACATCGATTCTAATGATCATTTGCCTCTCGTTAGGGACACTTGATATTGAAATTGGTAATTCCTGGTTATTTATCAAAGAAAGTTAGTTAACCGCTTGACCGCCTGGCCGGACATGTATTGAAATCGGCGTTTAACGTAGCCTCATTTTGATACAGATATCAGTTTAACAAAGAATACATAGTAAATTTATTAGACATGAGAATTAGTTTTAAGAAAGAGTTAACAGTATGTTGTAATTTGTTTTTGACGCTATATGTTTAAAGCTATTATCTATTTTATTTAACAATTTTAACCAGAAAAAAATATAAGTTTTAGACAGTGGTTTTAGAAATGTGGGAAATCGCCTTCTGATTCCAGGCTTGCAATGTCGATAGATATCTTTCCAGTCTGGCCTGTACCGGTTCTTCTCTCAAGATCTCTATTCCGGATTATTGACAAGAACCGTAAGATATCAAAACTGCTTAATGTGAATTGACCTCGCATGTTTTACTTTAAAATGTTCGTTTAGTAGTGACATATATCAAAAAACCTTAAAATTAAACAAGTGCTCTTTGTCTTTAGGAATTTCTGTGTTTTCGTTGAAAGTAAATAATGTACAAATTGAAATAGTTTAATGATTATTACATATCCATTTACTATGTAATACTACTTGCAAGTATAGTACAATTATTTTTTAGCCTATATCGTTAATGTTTCTATTTAGATGACGCATTAGATATCGGAGAAATGAAACTTAGCAGTATTTCTTCTATGTGAAGTTTGTGGGAATTACTACGAGGAAATATACGTTGAAATCAACTGGGCTTCTATGCATGGAGCAGATGACTGACGCTTATCTAATTCTTTATAATAAATCTCGCATGACATTATTTATTGATAAATTATTATGCATAAAGAGAAAGAGCACCTGATTATTTATATGATAAATCCTCTCTCAGACTCATGGTTACATATGTGATTTTATCTCGTCATGACTTTTAAGATAAAATGACATCCTACTAGTGAGACTTTAAGTCATTGGAGATCTTATCTATTGGTAGGGGAATTTTCGTATCTATTTGTCTGCATTGAGAGAGATATAAAGTTTATCAACGGATTATTATTTGAGTAAATAATTGCACGCTAGTTACTCATTATGTTATTTCAATGTGTTGTGGCTCACACGTTAAAATATGAAATTAGGCGATAATGAGTTGAACATGGAAAATTCATTGAGGTTGTTAACTTACAAAAATTAATCAATGAATATGAGGGTATTTTCAGAGAGGGGGAAGTTTATATATATGGCCCTGTATCAGTCTTGACAAGTTACAAATAATGTGCAATACTAGATTTGCATCAATGATTGTTCGTATGACTTGGAAAGACGCGTGTGCCCAATGGACCAAGGTCCGTTTTATTCTGTGGGAGTGTCATGTGATGCGTGATCCACGCTTATAATGCACGGCAACAAAGAACGCCGAGTTTCAACCTGATACATGGACCTGGAGAAGACATATTAGGTATTCAATGTGTACATACTTATAAACTGAAAAGAATAATGATTTCCTATCATCATTCATCAAAGTTATCATTTGTTCGTTTACTTAAAAAAAATGTTATCGCTTACCATATAATAACTATATAAAACATCCTGATATTACAGCTGTTCTTATTTCGAGGAAGAATCAATTATGGAAGTTTTTTAGCAATTAGGATAATAGATTATGAACAATACTTTCTCATATTCAATCGGTACACTATTTCATAGAATATAACATGATTTTTACAAACAATATAAATTCAATTACAACTATGCACTTTATTCATGGAAAAAAAATCAGCTATTTTTTATTTCATTTTAGATCCAATACTTGGTCTGAAACGTTTACAGTTAGCACAGAATTCTCCGTCCACGCCAAACTCCATCGTAAAAGTGAAATTCTTCAGAGCTGCTTGATCTGTCACCTATTACGTAAAGAGACAGACTGTGAAATATTATCACTTAACAATATCTGAAACATTTATTGGTAGCAGCTATGTGCGTGTAAATGTTCTTGTTCCTATTTATACTTAAATTAAAGTCAGCATTCCTTGAGTCTTCTAGTATCTTATTTATACAAGAGAAAAACTGGAGATCTCAAGTTTTTGCAAATCCTCAACAAAAATCCCCTCGTCGAGTCAGTTTCAATGCTCGTTATTGTGTTCAGTCGACTACGATAATATCACACCTTATTATATAGCTTCTCAGGTATCTAGCTCTGACAAACTAATCAAATAGCGGTTATAGTTCAAATTGTTGTTGTTGTCCAAACATGAACTGAATTGTTCTGTTTTAATAACCAAATATTCATAAGTTCTATGTAAATTCCAAAATTAAAACTGAGTCCCTTTTAAATTCCAAATATGACTAACAGCAACCACGGATTTATATTACAACTTGCAATTGAGATCCGTGCAGGAACTTGGCCCCCCTCCCCCCTGTTAATTCCCAAATTGACTAACAGGAACTGAGTCCCCTGTAAGTTACCAAATACTCGTTTGTATTATGTAAATTACCAAATTGTCAAACAGTCATAGAGATAAATGACCATGATTTTTGTATAATCAAATATAAAAAAATCATAATGGCATAAATGAATATTAGATATTATGGTCTCTTAAGCGGAATTTTCTATATTTATCCATTTATCCACATTTATTGTCAAGGTCACTATTACCTTAAAACTGAAAACAGTTTCCAGAACATAACTTAAGTTCCATTTTGGCCCACAATATTCAATCTTCTTAGGATATTATCCATATTGAGTAAAATACCCCTATTGATTTTGAGGTCAAAAGGTCAAAGGTCAAGGTCATTATTACCTTAAAACTGAAAACAGTTTCCAGAGCATAATTTAAGTTCCATTCGGCTCACAATATTCAAACTTAATAGGATAATTGTCCATATTGGATAGAAGACCCCTATTGATTTTGGTGTCATGAGGTCAAAGTTCAGGATCACAATGATCTTAACACTGAAAATTGTGGTTTCTTGAGAATAACTTAAGTTCCATTTGGCCCACAGTGTTCAAACTTCATAGGATGATTGTCTATATTGAGTAGAAGACCCCTATTAATTTATGGGTCACAAGGTCAAGATAATTATTACTTTTGAACTGAAAATGGTGTTTGCTCAATAACTTAAGTATTAATCCACCTACAGCTGTAAAATTGTATAGGATGAACAGACATGTCCAATACATGACCCCTATTGATTTAAGGCTCATAGGATCAAAGGTCAGGGTCACAATGCCCTTAACACTGAAAATTGTGCTTTCCGGAGCATAACACACGTTACATTTGGCTTACAGTGTTCAAACTTCAAAGGATGATTGCCTATATTGAATAGACGATTCATATCTATATTAGGGTTACAAGGTCAAAGGTCAATATCAAATGACCTTATTGTTAAAAGTTTTACAACCGTCAACTTTCATAGGATGATCACCTATATTGAGTACATTAATAATATGCCCTAAAATATTTACTTATGTTATATCCCTGGCATCATTCTGTCCATCCGTCGTAGTAAAATTATTAAATTCTCATGTTTTACAAATGCTTCATCCTTTGTAAAAAATCACTTTCGGGCATCTAATGCTCCGCCTAGCGGTGCTCTTGTTTATATTTGGTGTACCTGAGACATTTTCCAATCTCTTTCTGTCATATTACACTTAATTGTTCTGATAAGACGTAATTGATGCCATTTTACGAGGTGACGCCGAATTCGTGAATGACGCACTGAGGCAACGCTGGTTATCTCATTAAAAGTAAAAAATTGTAATGCTGGTTAAAATATAATGTAGCAGCCGTATGCACTTATTCATTTCTTTAAATTTGATTTAGAATCAAATATTTGAGTTCATTTCATTACTGTGTTATTAGTTTGGGGAATAGCATTGCACAGATTCGGCGTTTTTTATGTTATTTGCACATTCCTGCGATACTGGAATATATATACATGTCAAATATAAGAAAACAAAGCACAGAAGGCACTGAATTTGTTTAGGTCTCAGAATGCCAGAAAGGTGAAAGTTGTGAGACAATTTGTTTCCATTGTTACAACTGAAGTAAAGTGACTATAAGGCCAATTGCAACACTGACATTCATTTCAATGTTTATTTGGCTTAAACAGTTTATATATATAAAACAAAGTTGCCTTAAATGGGATTTGAACTCCAGACTTCTCGCTTCCTAACCGAGCGTGACGGTGAAATCTTAAGATAACAGCCTGAAGAAAACCACATAATTCTAAATTAGGGTTTGTAACCCTTATTAATTTCACGGTAAACCTGTTGTTTAACATTGATTTAAATAATCATGGAGCTTAATATAAGCATGTTTATCTGTAAAGAATAATAGTAATAGTAATAATATTAAAAATATTCGACCAATTGGGAACTATTTGTTTTCTTCCCCAAGAATAAATGCGCCTGTAATGTATCGCCTTAGTGTACTTATTAGGGAAGTAACCGCTTCGAGGAGTTTGGACTACTTTCGGTATTTGCAAATAAGCACATCAGGGTATGTAATTTCGCTACCATTATCTGTTTGGTATGACGACAAAAACAAATTAAAATGGGTATTGCAAAATAACATGTGTTCATTATGAACATTAATAAACGATTATTGATTAAGGAACGCAAAAAACATTTGTCACACCTTTAATTTAAAGAGCCAATTATATTAGGATTGTTGAAGAAATATTTAATTGACGCCGATATATTCCTTTTCTTTTCAGACAATATCTCTACAATTTAATTTGAGCCAATTTAGAAGATTTAAATACACCAGCATACACAGCTTAAACAGTCCTGACGAGTCTACTAATTTTTTGTAACTTTGTCTTTGTTAACAATGAGTTTTGTAATTTTAATAAAATATGTTCGTTTTCATGTGTTAAACAGAAGCTGTATTTAGTATAATTTTCCAGGTTATATTATTAACAAATGTTAACTAATACACAATGTGTTTTGTAATTTTGGTAATAAGATATGCTCGTTTTCATGTGTTTTTTTATTCAGTTAAAGCTGTATTTAGTATAATTTTCCAGGATGTATATTATAAACAAATGTTAACTAATTTACAATGTGTTTTGTAAGTTTAAAAAGTATGTTTGATTTAATGTGTTTTATTCAATAAAATAAATCCAGGTTTTATCACTAACAAATCACTGTGTTATGTAATTTTGGTAATAAAATATGTTTGTTTTTATTCAATAAAAGCCGTTTTTAGTATAATTTTCAGCATTAATTTATGTAATTTACCAATGAAATATAAAATGGAAAGAAGGTTTCATAGACAGTTTTAATGTAGATGTGAAAAAATTTGTATTTTCAACATGTGGCGAATCGTTAATAACTGTGGCGAATCGTTATTATTCTGTGACGAATCGTTATGTGACGAATCGTTAATGTGGCGAATCGTTTCATTACTATCTCACTGTGTCATATCTGAAGACAAACATTACGCCCCCTGCGAACTAGAATTTAAACTTCAGCCTTCCAAAGTTCGGGTTGAGACGGACTGTTAGAAAGGTGAGCATTTTTTCTACAACTTTTCTTTATAATATAGCAAGATGTACATGGTTAAGCACGATGAGTTTATTAGGAAATAAATTACAAATCTTTGGATGTTTCTTCTTTCATGTTTTCATCATTAACTGTTGAATTCTGCATAAATCGGTGATAAGGGGCGTAGACAATAGTTTGCATAAATTAGTTAATCACTGCACGATATTCACTTCTTTTTGTAAGTTGATTAACATTTAATATGCCCTATCCGTTATTTTAGTGTCGGACTTTTTAAGCTATATTCTGTTATTTATCTGTATTTGTTTTTTTTTTTAAATTCACACAAATTGTTTTCAAGTTTAGATAATTAAATCTGTAATAGCATCATGATGGACTATTTTAATATGTTTTTAACATTATGCCTCAGAAATCAATATTTTAATTCTTAAGAAAAGCTGAACATGTATTCAATACATTGTAATTAAATTATTGAAAATGTCAAAAATCTGAAAAAAGAATTAGTAACCGTCCGTACGATAAATAAATCTGCATAACTATATATCAACCGTTACGCTCTTTTCTACAGCTTTTCTTAATAATATAGCAAAATGTACATGGTCAAGCACGATGAGTTTATTAGTGAGGATAAATAGTTATACGAGCATATAATTTATAATAAAAAGATGTGATATAGTGAAACAACTGAACAATATAAATCAGATCACGTGACTGTTATATAAAAAACAGGTAAACTTTACGTGAAAAACATTTTAATTAATACTAAACTAACGTTTACAATGAAAGTTCAATGAAATATCCAGGATAAAAAGCTATAATGTTTATAATTATTAATTGGACACTAACTGATTAATATGTGACGTGTTTAGGCTTGAGAGAAATGCATATTGAGATATTGGATTACACAGGAACAAACAGTAGATACGGTGTATTTAATGTTAGTCATAAAGGTTTAAACAATTTATATTTCCCAGGAATATATATAATAATATATATTTATATTTATTTCATATTGTTTAGAACCTTGATATGTCGTTGGCTGAAAATTGATTATTAATTTTTTTTCATTTAAGAAAATGGAGGTCTCGGGAAAGGTAACTTCGACATCAAAGACGAACTTTAACCTCTACTGTATTACGTGTGATACAGATGGATTAAAGGAGCCAGCTTACGGATTTTGTCAAGACTGCCAAGAACATCTTTGCAAAAGTTGTTTTCAACATCATAGAAGGTCAAGGCTATCTAGAAACCACGTACTGCTTGATAAAGACGCTATGCCAACACAACAAACGACCGTTGACGACGTAAATGCAGACGTCATTACGGACAACTGTACCAACCATAAAGATAAACCACTGGAGTTCTATTGTAACAATCACGACACTGTGGCATGTTATGTCTGTGTTACACTTGAACACAAACAATGTAAAGTTGACTATATTCCTGATGTTTCAGGTAACGTATCTGGCGAGTTGATAGATTTGAACAAAAAGATGAAAGATTTAGTCAAGAAATGTGAAAATAACATTATGAAGGCTTCAGCTGCTAAAAAGCAACTAGAACAAAAAGGTGTGAAAGTTGTTGAAGACATACGGCTCTTGAGAAAGGAAATAAACGACCGGTTAGATGAGATGGAATCTATGATGATAAAAGAAGCTGAAGCTGTTGTTAACACAGCAAACTACAAACTCGAGAATGTCAATTTTGCTTGCACAAAAATAAACGAGGAAGTGAAACTTTCACAGTCAATTCTTAATGCCCTGACGGAAGAAAAAAAGCAGAATCAGCTTTTTATTTTAATGAAGAACGTCACACCACGTATGATGACACTGGAAAGTGAAGAAATGCAGATTGTCAAAGATAATATGACATATGACGACATTCAATTTGACCGAAACGAAAAGCTACTTGATCAGCTGAAAAATGAGAAAAACTTTGGAAAAATTTCAACATACCGAAAACCATCAGAAGATACTGAAATATGTGCGAATTATGAAAGATCGCACAACGTGACTTTTCCTTCTGATGAAAAAAGAAGCAATATCAGTGGGATGGTAATGGTTTCTGCCACACAAATGGTCATCGCTGATTCCGGTAATAAAAAAATTAAAACGATAGATGTTATCACAGGATCGTTGTTGTCAGAGAAGATGTTGTTTTCAGCACCATACGATGTTATAAAAATCCCACAAAATAAGCTTGCTGTTGCATTATATCCTGAAAAATGTATCCAGATAATGTCTTATACTGATACAAGTTTATCTTTAGATCGTCGAATTAGTGTCGGTGAAAATGGTTTATGTGTAGCTTATTGTCAAGACAAGCTAGTAGTGGGCTGTAATAAGAATCAAGGGAAGCTGGTTATTCTGGATTTAGATGGAAATATGATGCAAGTGTTTGATGCTCCTGGATTGTTTTGTGGACCTGAAAAGATTGTTATCAGCAGTGATGAGAAGTTCATGTATGTGTCTGATTTCTTCCCTTTCAAAGATAGCAAGTGTATAAAGATAGACTGGCAAGGTAATGTTGTACAAAGATTCAAGGATCAAGGATATAGAGGTCCTCAAGGAATACAGGAGTTGTCAGATGGTACGTTGTTAGTTTGCTTCAATGGCAGTGAAAAAATTGTTAGACTGTCGAGCAGCTTCAAGATATGTGAGATTACCGGATTAGAGAAAATAAACCTTTGTTCTCCACAGGCTGTAACATACAGTAAAAGGAATAACAAACTATATGTTAGTTGTTCTTCAACGCACGGACTTTATTCAAATGATACAATAAAAGTATTTAATGTGGGATGGATTGATAGTAGGTTTTGAATGTGAATATATCCTGCAAGATGATACATTGAATGACAGATTAAATCAATATTGGGAGTATACTAAATTCAAAAACACATCTTCTATTCAAAGTTAAAAAAAACTCTAGAAAATGTATGATGAATGTAGATTATCAGTTTTAAATCCGAATAATTATTAAATAAAGATCATCATTTATATACTATGTTGAAGAGCAACCTATTAATTTGACTATTCAATTACTTATTTACTTGTCCAGTGAATATCTCCGTTTGTCTTTAATTTATAAGTCTGCTATGAAGAAATCTTAACTCTGTATTCCTTGCTGTTGTTTGTTTGTGTGTGTAAATAAAAATATTCTTATGTTGAAGTATACTTTATTATACTAAACAAATGTGGTTACTCTCTTTTAATTCCATGATAGAAAGGGAATAAGAATATTTCAATACATGATGGGCAGACAAATGTTTCATTTGTAATAATTACTAAGTGATTTTTGTGGACTACATCAGTGATTTTGAAAATAATTTTACTATTTGCATTTCACATTGATTTATTTCAGCTGAATATGAAAAAAATGTTGACTATATATATTTATTAATATGTTACAGACTCTTAACATTTAAAATGCTATATTTCATAGTGATAAAAATAATGATAAACAAAAGAAGGTTATCTTAATATTTGTGAGAGTAATTGGCATACTGTGAAGTGATTTTTGCAAATAATTTATGTATATAATAAACCCCATGTTTGTATGATGAGATGAATAAATTTGATTGATTTGATACGATTTGATTGGAATTACGTTTACATCCCTGGTTAATCATTTGTTTATTTAATTAAATTGTTTGGCTTATAACATCAGTGATACATAAACACTGAAATAAAATCAAATTTTAATAAATGATAATTAAATACTGTTTTAAAACGATTAACAATTTATCATTTGGAATAACAAAATGGGAAGTAGATAATTTATTTAAGATATCAGACACGATTTATTTCGCGTCTAATTACGTTCTCTAATCTAATTAAATATTATGGTTTAAATGTCAAGGATTTACTGATAAATTGTTAATACATATAACTGGGTCTTTACAAATATCTAAACAAATGAAATGATAAAGTCAAAGTCATATGATTGGACGACTATATTTTTATATTTTATAAAGTGAAATACCAATCTAATCTACATCATTCTATCACAAAATTAAGCAGCCGGACGGACACGTTGAAGAATCCTCACAAAAATGTACCGGTTGAAGAATTTTAAATTTCATTGCATAGATAAGACTTTCCACTATAAAACGTTTGTAACGGAACAACTACGAGTATAAATCCAAGAGACGAGTGAGGCATGAGCAAAATAACAAAATGTAGACATAACTGGGCTCTTTGACAATATCCTGTGTTGCTGGTTTTTTTGTTGGGGGATGGATTTTCATTGAATTTCGCATTTCCTTATTGATATTTGTTTTTATTATTTTCACGATAAAATTGAATTGATGATAGATTCAGTGAGGGAATGTTTGTGAAAACAGTTATTGATAATATGTGTTGAACTCTTCTATTCAAAATTACAGTTCACGGTTCATCGTTATCAACAACAACAACAACAACAACAACAACAATAACAACAAAAACATCACCATTATTATTCCAAATTATATATATCACCAGTAAATGTGATTAGTATTAATAAGCATTATTATTTTAATTTTCATTTCAATTTATTATAAAACAGACAAGGGAAGGCCGAAGGGGAGGAACTTTGGATGTTATCATATGAGGAACCTATCCATTAAGCTTTTGGAACGCGGAACGTCGATGGGTCAATTCAGGTGCCTGTCCGTGCCTGAAATAATGCATGGAAGGGCATCTTAGTTCTTCCTGCACCAGTAAAGCTAAAAAACAGGGATCCTGTGAAACCAACCATATTCTTTTTAAAGGTATTACTTGTGTAAATCTGAAAAGCGAATAAGACTATCTTTCATATATGCCATCGTTTAACCCGCTCAGCTAAAATCAGCAGAATGTAGTGCGGAAATATCAATAGAAACCGCTATCAATGTGCCTTTTCCGTTGAAAAAGTCTTTATGAAACTTTCAATCTTCTCTTTGAAACTATTTATGTATAAATGTCATCTATTAAGTATAAAATTACCCGCATATATTACCTAACCAGGCACAATATATTACTAAATTTGCTGGCCACACATGATAATTTTTGATAAATGAATGCCTGTCATTCCGTAATATTTCAGTAAAATGGCAATTGAGTGCTTTAGTTTTGCTTCAATTATGTTCAAGATATGGATCTTTGGGGTGAATTCAAAATGGCCTCCAGGGTTGTACTGAGATGCCAAGTTTATTGACTGACAGACTAATTGCTATTTAATGCTGCGCATAAAGTAAAGGCGATACAATAAAACAACCAATGAGGTATTATAAAACGTTTTCCACTTCATAATTACAGTTTAGAACAACAGTGTTTGAAACTGATTCATTTCACTGAGAGATATATAAATAAATAAATAATAAAAAAAATGAAATTATAAAAAAATGAATAAAAAATGAAACAAAAATGAAGTAAAATAAAGCAAAAATGTCAAATGAAAAAAAAAAGTTTTGGTATCGTTTGCACTTAGAAAAGCGATAATCGTCACAAATCAGATCAAAGAGAGTTTGAGTCATTGGCTGACATTGCTGTTTTATGTAAATAATCGTCTCTATACTAGACTATTTGTTTTCAAAGAGAAAAAAATCATGTTTTTTTCAAAGAACCTTTTTGAAAATAACCGTTTCTATTGAAATTTCTGCAACACCATTATCATTTTTTTGCTGCGCACAAAACACTGAACCGTTTTATAAGACTCGTATCAAATTGTAACATGAATGCTTATTAGTTGTATGATCATTATCTGACAGAAAATTCAATAGTGAATTTACTGTCATATACCTGTTACATATAACTGGAACAACCCATGAAGATTATTAGTCGAGTTATCATGTCTGTGTTTGTGAATTGATACAGCCGTTACCCCTTTAAAGTGGGGATCCGGGTTTTTTACATGTCCGATATTGAGTGTCTCGGTTGCAAAATATGATTAGAATTGATTAGAATTAGTTCCGCCCATTGTTTTTTCGTTTAGGGCAAAAGCATTCTTTTACTTGGGGACCATACGCCGCTTTTCATGGAATGGCACTACTGTGTCACATTGAAGGTTCCATTATAACCGCCGTATGAACACATCTGCGGATGTTTCTAAATTCAAAATTTCACCATTTTCGTGTTAAATGTTGAATTCTGCTTAAGCCGGTGCTAGGGGGCGTGGACGGTAACTTGCACTTTCCATTACCGTCCATGAACAGGCTCAATCAAACCGAGCCTGCAACATTTTCAATTTTGTTGTGTTGGACTTTCTTTAGGGATTCTGTTTTTCTCTATTTTATTGTCACATCCGTGTTATTTGTGCTGTGTGGCGGCTGTAAAAAGTCTCCCCGAACATTTAATCAACGATGTTATATTTTCGATCCTTGTAGATCGTTCAGCACGACATTATTGTTGTGTATACATGTTATGTGGTACTTTTAGTTTCTTCAGTTTGGCCATTTTCAACTTGGGTGGTTCCAGTATTCCTTGAATACTGAATAATCACCCTTGGAATACACTGCCTGCTTTTTAAAAGTGTCTTCTGTCGTCTTATCTGCGATATGCAGGCTTCATAACCTCAGACCCCCTTTCAAATTTCCATATTATTTAGTTCCGCCCATTGTTATTCGTTTAGGGCAAAAGCATTCTTTTACTTGAGGACCATACGCCGCTTTTCATGGAATGGCACTACTGCGTCACATTGAAGGTTCCATTATAACCGCCGTATAAAAACATCTGCAGATGTTTCTAAATTCAAAATTTCACCATTTTCGTGTTAAATGTTGAATTCTGCTTAAGCCGGTGCGTGGACGGTAACTTGCACTTTCCATTACCGTCCATGAACAGACTCAATCAAACCGAGCCTGCAACATTTTCAATTTTGTTGTGTTGGACTTTCTTTAGGGATTCTGTTTTTCTCTATTTTGATAAAACCTCCGGCCCTTGGGCTACAAAAGCAGCGCGTTACCAATGCACCTCAGATCAATTTACAAAATTACAGAATAGCAAATAATTTGTGTTCAGCAAATTATGTGTTTCATAACTTAAGCTTTTCCGATCGACTATTCATGTGATGATAACCGTTATAATTAACAGATTCTGACTGTAAGATATTTTCTTTTCGAACATAATGTTACCGATATAAAAATTGGTATATTTGATATACATAATGCTGTGCCTTTGTTTATTTCAAAAGTCACTTGCTAGAACTCCTTTAAATCCGTACTAGTATAATTCCATTATGGCTATTTGTAATCAACGATGTGTTCAGAATGAATGCTAAAATGAGAACCCACTTTTGCAGCGCAAAGAGTTGTCGAGTTCTTGAATGTAGCGCGTGAACCGATACTTGATATGTTCACAATTGAACCCCATGTCTTTCTTAGATATGGAGGCGCATACTGAAAAATGAAGGCAATACTCAACTGTATATTGAAAAACAAAGCTAGAAATTCCATGATAACAGAGAGATAGCTTGCTGTTTGATTTTATGAATCGGTCACTTTTGACTACATTAATACTCTTTCTGAATAGTCCATCAAAACTGCCCCAGCCTTAACATATCCTAGAATAAGTAAGAAATATATTACAAATATTTTGAAAAGTCACATGTTAGGTTAAAGAAATAATAGTGTTGAATCACATTCCCCGATAACACAATCGAAAAGAAACTTGCCTGATATGACAGATGTCTTTGATTCGAACCCCATCGTTGTTAAGACATGTTTATCTGTGTGTGTTTTTTACTCTGCAATATAATCTCATGGAAATTGCCAAGTGCTAACATTGTAGACATGGTTACAGAGATAAAAATCTATGGACGGCATTATGGACTTTAAAAGACGACGTTAGTTGGAACTCGATAGTAGCAGAGTTTGATTGATTGTTGTGATTTTAAGTGGCACTGTAAAGACTTAAGCTTTACTGGTGTAGGAGGACCTCGTGAGTCCCTTCGATTATTATTTAGTATTGACTGGACACCTGAATAGAACTACCGACATTCGATAACATAGCTCAAAAGCTTCCTAAAATTACAAATACCAAAGTTGTCATCAGTTAGATACAATATCG